TTTTTTTTTGAGATGACGTTTCCCTCTTGTTTTACAGGCTGGAGTGCAATAGTGCGATCTTGGCTCACTGCAACCTCTGCCTCCCAGGTTCAAGTGATTCTCATGCCTCAGCCTCCTAGTAGCTGGGATTATAGGAGCCTGCTACCACGCCTGGCTTTGTATTTTTAGTAGAGCAGGGTTTCTCTATGTTGATTAGGCTGGTCTCGAACTCCCAGCCTCAGGTGATCTGCCCACCTTGGCCTCCCAAAGTGCTGGGATTATAGGCGTGGGCCACTGAGCCTGGCCTGTTCACAGGTTTTTAAGTGCCAGTTGTTGTGCAGCCACCATCCTGTTTTATGCATCCAGCAATTCTACAACAAAAGATTAAGGTTACTCTGACAAACAAAATGGAATCTTGTGAGAATGGCATCTGAAAGAAACTAAGATGGTAGCAAAGCTCTGCGAACCTGATTATGTGTTGACTCTGTGAGGGCATCAGGCACTGTAACAATTAATTTTTCACTTATAATAGTACTTGCTTAGGAATTATTGCGGCCGGGCGCGGTGGCTCAAGCCTGTAATCCCAGCACTTTGGGAGGCCGAGGCGGGCGGATCATGAGGTCGAGAGATCGAGACCATCCTGGTCAACATGGTGAAACCCCATCTCTACTAAAAATACAAAAAATTAGCTGGGCATGGTGGTGCGTGCCTGTAATCCCAGCTACTCAGGAGGCTGAGGCAGGAGAATTGCCTGAACCGAGGAAGCGGAGGTTGCCGTGAGCCGAGATTGCGCCATTGCACTCCAGCCTGGGTAAAAAGAGCGAAACTCCATCTCAAAAAAAAAAAAAAAAGAGGAATTATTGCAACCGTTGTTTCATTGCCATAGGCTCTAACTACTAAAGCTGATAAAATACCATCAACTTTGAATGATGCTAGGATGCCAGGCTTTTACCAGACCAAAGTGAAGACTCATTTTTGACTAATGCACAGTGGAACATATTTTATTTTATTTTTTTGAGATGGAGTCTCACTTTGTTGCCCAGGCTGGAGTGCCATGGCACAATCTCGGCTCACTGCAACCTCTACCTTCTGGGTTTAAGCCACTCTCCTGCCTCAGCCTCCTGAGTAGCTGGGACTACAGGCACCCACCACCATGCCCAGCTAATTTTTATATTTTTAGTAGAGATGGGTTTTGGCCTTGTTGGCCACGCTGGTCTCGAACTCCTGATGTCAGGTGATCTGCCAACCTTGGCCTCCCAAAGTGCTGGGATTACAGGTGTGAGCCACCACAACCAGCTGGAACATCTTTTAATCAAGTCGTTCTCAAATGGGGAGTGTTTTGTCCCATGAAAGACATTTGGTTATGTCTAGAGACATTTTGAGTTTTCCCAACTGCAATGGCATCTAGTGGGTAGAAATTAGAGATGCTGCTAAACATCTTATGATGCACAGGACAGCCCTCACCACTACCCTACCATACACAAAGAATTATCCAGCCCAAGACGTCAATAGCACCAATAGTGCTGAGCTTGAGAAATACTGCCAACTATGTACATACTCAGACATAGACTCATTTCTACTCAGAATGCTAGTTATCAAGCTTAATTAGCATAACCTCTACAGATTACCTGCTCTCTTTATAACACTTAAAACTCCTGGCCAGGTGTCGTGGCTCACACTGTAATCCCAGTACTTTGGGAGATCAAGGCAGGCAGATCACTTGAGGTCAAGAGTTTAAGACCAGCCTGGCCAAGATGGTGAAAGCCCATCTCTACTAAAATACCAAAATTAGCTGGGTGTGGTGGTGAGTGCCTGTAATCCGAGCTACTCAGGAGGCTGAGGCAGAAGAATCGTTTGAACCTGGGAGACAGAGGTTGCAGTGAGCCGAGATCACACCAATGCACTCTAGCCTGGGTAACAGAGCAAGACTCCATCTCAAAAACAACAACAACAAATAAACAACAACAATAAAAAACTCCTGACTTTTCTCCTCAGTGAACTATTAATATTCAGTGCTCCCTCTCCTAATAATGTCAACTTCATACCAGTTACTGGTCTAGATTCTAAGGATATTGCTCTGAACAAAACAGATCAGATCCCTGCTCTCATGAAGCTTACGCTCCAGTCAGAGAGAAGCTAAACAAATGAATAAGTAAGTAGAGAGAACAAAACACATAAGACTAAGTAGTAGGCAGAAAATTAAAAGAAAGGGGCACAAATAGAGTGGTTTGGTAGCTACTTTAGACTTCAGTCAGTAATTTTCTCTTTGAGGAGGTGACGTTTAAATTGAGGCTTAAGTGACAATAAGGAGAACATCCCAGGTAACGGAAGTAGTCTGTGAAAAACACAAAGATAGAAATGAACTTGTCATCTTCAGAAAAGCCAGTGCGGCTAGAGTACAGAGGGGGAGTAGTGGAGACGAGGTTGAAGATGTTGGAAGGGGTAGGATTATGCAGGTACTGTACACCAAGATAAGGAGTCTGGGCTGTGATGAGTGCACTGGAAGCCTTTGCAGGGTTTAAGCCAAGGTGGGACATGATCTGATTTATCTTTCAATAAGAAACTTCAGTATCATGCAGTATACTTTGGTAACAAATCTGCACATGTACTCCCAATTCTAAAATAAAAGTTGAAAAAGAAAAAAAAAATAGGGTAACTATGAAAAAAGAAAAGAACAGTTAAAAGTAATATAAGAACAAAAATATACTTCTTATATTACAAAAGCAATATAAGAAGTAAAGCTGGGCGCAGTGACTCACGCCTGTGATCACAACACTTTGGGAGGTTGAGGCAGGTGGATGTCTTGAGCCCAGGAGTTCAAGGTTAGCCTGGGCAACGTGATGAAACCCTGTCTCTACAAAAAACAAAAATTAGCTGGGTGCAGTACTGCACACCTGTAATCCCAGCTACTCAAGGCTGCAGTGAGCCATGATCACGCCCCTGCACTCCAACACTCCAGCTTGGGTGACAAAACAAGACCCTGTCTCAAAAAAAAAAAAAAAAAAAAGATTAAAAAATGGCAAAAGACGAAGTATATGAAAATAAGGTAAAAATAATAACAAACAAACAAAAAGATTACCTTAGCTACTATGGGAAGAACATATAGGGTAGGGGGAGGATGAAGGAGAAGCGGGAGGAGAAGAGAAGCAAAGGGGCCAGAAAGAGGCTATTGTAGGAGACCAGGAAAAATGAACCCTTGCATGGACTCTTAGAGATGGACAGAAAGGGGTGGGGTCAGCATATGTTGTGGAAGTGGAGTTGCTAGGTCTTAATGGTTTGCATACTTGAGTGAGAGAAATAGGAATCAAGGAGGATGATTCATGGGTTTTGGCTTGAGTAACTAAAATAGAGAAGACCAAGAGACAACCAGCTTTTAGGTGGTAGCAGGTTTTGGATAGGATATTAAGAATTCTGAGGTAAGGGCCCCCTGGCCGGCATCCAAGTAGAAGGGGAGAACTATGATGACAGAAGACTGAATAACGATCAATGAAACCAAATGATTGAGTGCCGCCTTCTGGATCCTTGACTTCCAGAGCCAGGAGTCTCTATTGGCTCTTAGGCCATTGCTCTATGAAATACCAATCTTTTTCTCCTCTAGCCTCTCCTCCAGTTGCTGAGCTCCTGGTGCGTTTTGAGAAGTAGAAAGCAAAAAGGACCCTCTTGTTTTTCTTTGGATCCAGAGAGAAATTGAGCAAATGACAAAGCAAATAGGATAAAATGTATTTTGTTTTGTTTTTCCTGATCTTCCCATGAGAGGCAAATACAGGTTAAGGATGGGTGAATCTGGGTAAAGGATATAGAAATGTTCTTCCAAGATTTTTGTTGGCAACTGGTCTAAGTATGATATTATTTCCAAATAGAAAGCTAAAACAAACAAAACAATTGGCCTTGGGATATTGGCCAGTCTTGAAGTAATCAAGTAAGTAGAAGCAATCAACTAAGTAGAAGCTGGGAGGTGACTTTTTAAATTATTATTATTATTTTAATTTGAGACGGAGTCTCACTCTGTCGCCCAGGCTGAAGTACAGTGGCGCGATCTCGGCTCACTGCAACCTCCACCTCCTGGGTTCAAGCTACTCTGCCTCAGCCTCCTGAGTAGCTGAGACTACAGGCACCCGCCACCACGCCTGGCTAATATTTGTATGTATGTATGTATGTATGTATGTATTTATTTATTTATTTTGAGACAGAGTTTCACTCTTGTTACCCAGGCTGGAGTGCAATGGCACGATCTTGGCTCACCGCAACCTCCGCCTCCTGGGTTCAGGCAATTTTCCTGCCTCAGCCTCCTGAGTAGCTGGGATTACAGGCACGCGCCCCCATGCCCAGCTAATTTTTTGTATTTTTAGTAGAGACGGGGTTTCACCATGTTGATCAGGATGGTCTCGATCTGTTGACCTCGTGATCCACCCGCCTCGGCCTCCCATAGTGCTGGGATTACAGGCTTGAGCCACCGCGCCCGGCAATATTTGTATTTTTAGTAAAGACAAGGTTTCACTGTGTTAGCCAGGATGGTCTCAATCTCCTGACCTCATGATTGGAAGGTGACACTCTTAAGGGACAACAAGTGTTGTGAAAATAACACGAATATCCACCCTCCCTCCTCTCAAAAAACCCCTAAATTCAGTTCTTCGCTTGCTAATATGTGATCCTGGCAAAGTCATCTAAGCCGCTGAGCTTCAGTTCCTCCACCCCGTAGAGCTGTTGCAACTATCAAATGAAAGAATGTCTATCAACGCCTTTCATGAACTATATTATTGCTGCTACCGTAGAAATGGAAAGTATGTAACAATAATTTGGACTAGATCCAAAACTACTTTGGACACTTCTGAGACTGTGGCCGCGCCACTGTCACCTTCCAAAGGCCACCAGGGTTTCCATGATGTGGCACGGGCAGCGCACCCCCACCTTTCCAGGTGGGCGGTGCACACGTTGCTAGCTCTCCAGGTGACCGCGGCAGCTGCCCGAGAGCGCAGGCGCGAAGGCAGATCACGTAAGAACCTGGCCACGCCTTCCGGCCTTAGCGTCCCTCTGATCCCGCCCCTCTCGAATGCCGTCGCGGGATCGCCCTGGAAACGCATTCTCCGGGAGCGGCAGCCGCCAATGGGAAGTTAGCGAGTGCCACGAACAGGCCAATAAGGAGGGAGCAGTGCGGGGTTTAAACTTAAGGCTGGGCCGGCTCTTCCCGGCGTGCTGCGGAGGAACGGCTGTTGGTTTCTGGTGGGTTCAGGTCCTCGGCTGGTCGGTTCTCCGGTGTTCTGCTCCTCTCCACTGAGCTGCTGCCTGGTGAAGAGGAAGCCATGGCGCTCCGAGTCACCAGGGTGAGCCGCTGCGGACTGCGAACTAATGGGGCCTTCCTCGCTGCTGCCTGCTCGTCCTGCCTCGCCTGCGGGAGCCCCCCGAGCGGGAGAGGGCTTCAGGAACGATTTGGGGAGGAAGGTGGGAGGGGAGTCACCAAGAGAACCGAGGTGGGCCCAGGCCTGGTGGGGGAGTATGGGGGACGATGGACGGAGAGAGGAAGGAGAGAAAGAGACCTGGACGGATATTGGATACATGTTTGGGGGAGGTGGAGAGTCGACTAGGAACCTTTTGAAAAAGTGATAGAGGGTTCCTGAGTGGGCCCGCCCAGCAACTGCGTAACCCGCTTTCCAGAGAGAAGGTGTCTGCAATTGGAGGCTTTTTCGGTTTCCTTTCAAATGTAAATTATCAGTGTTTTAGGGCTGGCCAGGAAGAATTAGGAAATCCCTCTATCGGTAAATGTAGAGGTTCTCGGTGGAAACTGACTTGTCACGGCCGCAGAGTACACTCTGGGACCCACGTTTTCCCTTGGAACCCGTATTTAGTCGGCTTTCCTTCTGGGAACCTGTCTTGTGCCCCACCTAATTAACCCTTGACTTACTCGAGCCTCCGTGAACCAGCTCTTAAAGTGGTCTTGCTTCTTTCAGAACTCGAAAATTAATGCTGAAAATACGACGAAGATCAGTATGGCAGGCGCAAAGCGCGTGCCTATGGCCCCTGCTGCAACCTCCAAGCCCGGACTGAGGCCAAGAACAGCTCTTGGGGACATTGGTAACAAAGTCAGTGAAAAACTACAGGCCAAAATGCCTATGAAAAAGGTAGCCCTCTTCCTGACCTAACTTCTTTAAGAGCCCGCCTTCCAACTGTGGTCCTAGATGCAGAAATATTCCATTCTCTCTGTTTCATCTACACAGGAAGGAAAACCTTCAGCTACTGGAAAAGTTACTGCTAAAAAACTACCAAAACCTCTGGAAAATGTACCTATGCTAGTGCCAGTGCCGGTGTCGCAGCCAGTGCCAGAGCCAGAACCTGAGCCTGTTAAAGAAGAAAAACTTTCGCCTGAGCCTATTTTGGTAAACTTATTTTTAACATTGTAGAGTCTTGTTGCTTATTTCTTCTGTCCCTTATTTCACTGATACATGCAAGAGCATTCAAATTAATAGTAATATTAATATCATTTATTGAGTGCTTAGCATGAGGCAAGCTCTGCCTAACATTTTACATGCAGTAACTCACATAATCTTTCCCTGTACTCTCTGAGGTAGGTATTATCACCTCTACTATTTAGGTCATGGCTTTAGAAAGGTTATGTCAGGATCATACAGGTAAGTGGCCCATATGGGATTCAAGCTCAGGCTGTCTGGCTTCAGAATCTATGTTTTTGTTAACTTCCTTGTATTACTTTGTTAATTATATTAAGAAGTAGCTGCCTGAACCAAAGGTTTTTATTGTCCAAGTACAAACCGTCTCTGCAGAACTTATCCTCGTAAATATAGAATATTCTCTTGATTTTTTTTTTTTTTTGGTGACAGGGTTTCACCATGTTGGTCAGGCTGGTCTTGAATTCCTGACTTCAGGTGATCCTCCCGCCTCGGCCTCTCAAAGTGCTGGGATTACAGGCGTGAGCCATGGCGCCCAGCCTGAATTTTTTTTTTTAACTGCCTAATATGGCTACTAAATAATAAGCCTGTAACATTGAAATATGTAAATAAGTAAAACAGGAGGAATGCAACTCTTCAGGGAGTGGTTAAGAAGATGAATTAACATTTAACCTCAAAGAAAAAAATGTTATAACAGGATGTTTTAGAAAAGAAAAAAAGATTTAGCCTCAAGAGCAATAACTTTATTAAATATCAAATGTGTAAAAGTGTCCTATCCTGTGAAGGAAAGGTAGGTCATGTAGAGGAGGATGCTTTGATGAAATTGCAATGAATTGCATTCTGAAGCTCTGTTTTTTTTAAACTTAGTTAAAACCAGTTGAGAAAATTATCTGAAAAAAAATTTGAGATGGCAGTCTCGCTCTGTTGCCCAGGCTGATGTGCAGTGGCACGATCTTGGCTCACTGCAACCTGTGCCTCCCAAGTTCAAGCAGTTTTCCTGCCTCGGCCTCCCAAGTAGCTGGGATTACAGGCACACGCCACCACACCCAGCTGATTTTTATATTTTTAGTAGAGATGGGGTTTCACCATCTTGGCCAGGCTAGTCTCAAACTCCTGACCTCAAGTGATCTACCCACCTTGGCCTCCCAAAATGCTGGGATTACAGGCGTGAGCCACCACTTAGCTTGAGCCTGGCCAGTTTAGCTTCTTCTGTCTAAGGATAAGAGATTGAAAGATACTGCTTTAGTGTTGAATTTCTGGTCATAGTACTTGAAACATGTAGCCAGCACAGTCTTTAACTGGGCATATCAAAGTACATGAGGCTTTCTTGAAAGGCCCATAGTGATTCTTACCTTTGCTTTCCCACTTAGTAAGAATGCTGTCCCCACCCCGTCTTTCATTTAGCTAATAACCTTTTCATCCTTGAAAACAGCTCAAGCATCAACTCCTGAAGCTTTCCCTAACTTTCCCTATCTCTACCCCTATTCCTAGAATCCATCTTTTTTTTTTTTTTTTTTTTTTTTGAGGCGGAGATCTCACTGTTGCAGCTGGAGTCCAGTGGCGCGATCTCAGCTCACCGCAACCTCCATATCCCAGGTTCAAGCAATTCTCCTGTCTCAGCTTCCCGTGTAGCTGGGAATATAGGCATGTGCCATCATGCCCAGCTAATTTTTGCATTTTTAGTAGAGACAGGGTTTCTTTTTTTTTTTTTTTTTTTAAGGGATGGGGTTTCACTATGTTGGTTAGGCTGGTCTCAAACTCCTGACCTCAGATGATCCACCTACCTCGGCCTCTGAAAGTGCTGGGATTACAGGGATGAGCCACCACCCCCAGACTCAGTCTTATTTTGAGAAGGAGTTTCACTCTTGTTGCCCAGGCTGGAGTGTAATGGTGCGATCTTGGCTCACTGCAACCTCCACCTCCTGGGTTCAAGCAATTCTCCTGCCTCAGTCTCCCAAGTAGTTGTGATTACAGGCATGCGCCACCACACCTGGCTAATTTTTGTATTTTTAGTAGAGACAGAGTTTCTCCACGTTGGTCAGGTTGGCCTCAAACACCTGACCTCAGATGATCTGCCCTCACTTTGAGAGGCCATGAGCCACCTGACCAGCCAGTCTTATTTCTTTACTTAACTTTGTCTATTAAGAGCTCCTTGCGGATGCAATGAAGTCAATGCCTTGCAGAGTTTGACTTGAAGAAGGTGCTCAATAAATGAACAGTGGAATAAAGGGAGCTTGAAGGAAATGGTTAATGGTGATGGAGTTAGTTAATCCTTGGTAGTCAGGACAGAATTTGTGTTCTTTTGAGTAGTGAGAAGCAGTTTATATTTAGAAATAAAGACTGAAGACTGAATTGTGATTTATTTGGATTAACTTCCTATGTTGCTCATAAAGATTAGTTACTTATCAGTTTTCTTTGGAGGAAAGTCTAGAATGTGAATTCATTTGCTTCCAACTTTAAACTGACTCTATTTATTTATTTATTTATTTATTTATTTATTTTGAGATGGAGTTTCGCTCTTGTTACCCAGGCTGGAATGCAATGGCACGATCTCAGCTCACCGCAACCTCCGCCTCGTGGGTTCAGGCAATTCTCCTGCCTCAGCCTCCTGAGTAGCTGAGATTACAGGCACGTGCCACCATGCCCAGCTGATTTTTTGTATTTTTAGTAGAGACAGGGTTTCATCATGTTGACCAGGATGGTCTCGATCTCTTGACCTCGTGATCCACCCGCCTCGGCCTCCCAAAGTGCTGGGGTTACAGGCGTGAGCCACCGCACCTGGCTAAACTGACTCACTTTAAGTTGGCATTTTACTTTTTTTTTTTTTTTTTTTCCCAGGCTGGAGTAGAGTGGTGTAGTCATAGCTCACTGTATCCTCAAACTCCTGGGCTCAAGTGATCCTCCTGCCTTGGCCTCCTGAGTAGCTAGGGCTACAGGCAGCTGCCTTCACCCTCATGCCCAGCTAATTTAAACATTTTTTTGTAGAGACGAGTTCTTGCAATGTGGCCCAGGCTAGTCTGGAACTCATGGTCTCAAAGGATCCTCCCACCTCAGCCACCCAAAGTACTGGGATTACAGGCTTGAGCCACCATACCCGACCTTGTTCTTTTTATTTGAGCAATTAAATGAAGATTTTTTGTTTGTTTGTTTTTGACAGAGACAGGGTCTTGCTACATTGCCCAGGGTGGTCTTGAACTCCTGGCCTCAACCTCAGCCTCTCAAAGTGCTGGGATTAAAGATGTGAGACACTGCACCCAACCCAAATGATCTCTTTTGATGTTAATCACTTCCAAAAAAGAAATAGAATAAATCTGAAAAGATACTTTTCCTTTCAGGAAATGATTTGTATGTCAATTCAGCAGAATACTATCTTAAGTTGGTACCAATAAACTGACCTTAACTATAGTGCTTACTCCTATTTGCTATTGTTTCAAGAGATCTCTTTGTTTCAAGGTTGACACTCCCTCTCTAAGCCCAATGGAAACATCTGGATGTGCCCCTGCAGAAGAAGACCTGTGTCAGGCTTTCTCTGATGTAATTCTTGCAGTAAGTGATGTGGATGCAGAAGATGGAGTGGATCCAAACCTTTGTAGTGAATATGTGAAAGATATTTATGCTTATCTGAGACAACTTGAGGTCAGTATTATCATTTGTTAGTTTTTTTTTTTCTTTTTCTAAACTGCTTCTAACTTTATGAAAAGTATTTTCTGTCAATAGTTTTTAATAATTCAAGCAGGACGTGGGCAGCATTTCTTAAGAGTAGATTGCACTTTCAAATTCTCCTTCATGGAATACCTAAAATAAAAGTCACTAAACCAGTGAAGTCTGTGCCATTCTGTGTCATCAAGTTCGAAGTTAGCATGAATACTACTACTGCTCTTCCTAAAGGAAAGTCCACAGATTGAATTTGATATGTAACTATGCCATCTCCATTGCAGTTTGAATGGTTAAGTCCCAAACTCTGCATTTTAGGCGATAATGAATGGGTCAGGTAGTGGATGAGGACGTAGACTATACTGAAAGACCATAGCCACCCCTAACACAAGGCGTTTTGTGTTAGTGTGACTGATGGGCATCCAATTGTTGGTGAGATTATTTGTGCCCAAAAGGAGTATGCTCAAAAGCTAGGTTTTGGTTCATTTCAATTTGATCTCACTTTTGAAACTCTGTTAATGGCATTTGCCCTTTCCCCACAAACATAAGCATTCTATATGGCTGCATAAACATACTAGCATAAGCTATACCATGTTTACCCAGTTTGTTTGTTTTTTTGTTTTGTTCACTCTGTCACCCAGGATAGAGGGCAACCTCTGCCTCTTGGGTTCAATCAATTCTTCCTCAGCCTCCCGAGTAGTTGGGATTGCAGGCACGTGCCACCATGCCTAGCTCACTTTTTGTATTTTTACTTGTTGTTTTTTTGGTTTTTATTTTTTATTTTTATTTTTTTGAGACAGGGTCTTGCTCTGTTCAGGCTGGAGTGCAGTGACACAATTTCAGCTTACTGCAACCTCCGCCTCCTGGATCAAGTGATTCTCATGCTTCAGCCTCCCGAGCAGCTGGGATTACAGGTGCCCACCACAACACCCGACTAATTTTTGTATTTTTAGTAGAGATAGGGTTTCACTATGTTGGCCAGGCTGATCTCAAACTCCTGACCTCAGGTGATATCCTCCCCATCCCCCCGACCTTAGCCTCCCAAAGTGCTGGGATTACAGGCATGAGCCACCACACCCAGCCTGCAGTTGTTTTTATGCATTGTCTTAAGTCATCATTGACATCTTCATCTCTTTCCTGCTCCTTTTGAGCCTCTTCTTTTTTTGTAGGTTCTTTGAGACAGAGCTTCACTATTCTTCCTCCACAGGCTGGAGTGCAGTGGCATGATCTCTGCTCACTGCAACCTCTGCCGCCTGGGTTCAAGCAGTTCTCCTGCATCAGCCTCCCAAGTAGCTGGGATTACAGGCATGTGCCACCACACCCATCTAATTTTGTATTTTTAGTAGATATGGGATTTCTCCATGTTGGTCAGGGTGGTCTTGAACTCCCGATCTCAGGTGATCCAACCACCTTGGCCTTCCCAAAGTGCTGGGATTACAAGGCATGAGCCACTGCTCCCAGCCCTCCTTTTGGGCCTCTTCTTTTTCTTTTTTTTTCTTTACTTTTTTTTTTTTTTGAGACGGAGTTTCGCTCTTGTTACCCAGGCTGGAGTGCAATGGTGCAATCTCGGCTCACCGCAACCTCTGCCTCCTGGGTTCAGGCAATTCTCCTGCCTCAGCCTCCTGAGTAGCTGGGATTACAGGCACGTGCCACGATGCCCAGCTAATTTTTTGTATTTTTAGTAGAGACGGGGTTTCACCATGTTGACCAGGATGGTCTCGATCTCTTGACCTCGTGATCCACCCACCTCGGCCTCCCAAAGTGCTGGGATTACAGGCTTGAGCCACCGCGCCCGGCTGGGCCTCTTCTTTTTCTATAGGATTCTTCTGCAAGAAGAGTTCTTTGCCAGGAGCAGCCTTCTACTTTGGGTTTCTTCTCATATCTTGTGCTTTTTAAAGTTGTGTTCTAACTTTGGAGGATTAAATTTAGTAAATGTGCTGTTTCTTGATGCTTCATTCTTGTTCTGTGAAAGGCCATATATGCAGAGCGACCCCGCCCCCACCCCCCAAATGTCAGAGGAGCCTAGAAACCAAGGAATAAGGCAGATAAATGGAGTTTGTTGGTATTGGGTGACTGATTAGGAGGAATTTACAGACAGAAGTACAGTCTTGTGTGGCTGAAAGATGTGGATCTCTGCACTGTAACCCCTCATACCCAGGACTTGGGTATGTATACATTTTATTGGGGAAAGTATACATGCTCTAGAAGGAATGTGTGAGTGGCTGAGAGAATGCTGCTGACAACACAGCCTGTAATGTATGTATACAATAGTATCAAGGGCTGCTTTGGAGGAAAGGCAAAACTTAGAGTGAACAGGCAGAAGTCACATGGGATTAGCATTTAAAATAAAGTCACTCTTGTCCCCACAGTTCTTAGCTATGTTGCTGTTGGGGTTTAGCCCTGGAGCAGGCAGAAATATTGTAGTACATGGGTTCCAGCTTCTCTGGGAGTTACTGATATTTTCTCTACATAAAGCTCAGGTTCTAGGTTTAAAGGCTTAAGTGAAAAGATCTGAGATGATAGTATAGTATCTTTATTTGAAAGGAAGTGGGCCAGCAGCAGCTGTGGTGAATTGAATATTGTAAGACCTGGCAATATAAAAAAGCTGTCACACTGTCCTATCTAATGTGTTTTTTTGTTTGTTTGTTGTGTTTTTGGAGGCAGTCTTGCTCTGTCACCCAGGCTGGAGTACAGTGGTGCAATCTCGGCTCCCTGTAGCCTCCACTTCCTGGGTTCAAGAGATTCTCGTGCCTCAGCCTCCTGAGTAGTTGGGACTATAGGCGTGAGCAAACGTGCCCAGCTAATTTTTGTATTTTTAGTAAAGATAGGGTTTTGCCATGTTGGCCAAGCTGGTCTCGAACTCCTGGCCTCAAGCAGTCTGCCCACTTCAGCCTCCCAAAGGGCTGAGATTACAGGCATAAGCCACCATGCTGGCCTTAATGTTTGCTTTCCTTATTGGTGATGGTGTTTGTGGTGACCCTATGAATAACTGACTTAAGAACTTACGTAGGCCGGGTGCATTGGCTCACACCTGTAATCCTAGCACTTTGGAAGGCTGAGGCGGGTGGATCACCTGAGGTCAGGAGTTCAAAACCAGCCTAGCCAACATGGTGGAACCCTGTCTCTACTAAAACTACAAAAAAAAAATTAGCCAGGCATGGTGGTACATGCCTGTAATCCCAGCTACTCAGGAGGCTGAGGCAGGAGAATTGCTTGAACCTGGGAGGTGAAAGTTGCAGTGAGCTGAGATCGCACTATTGCACTCTAGCCTGAGCAACAAGAGTGAAACTCCATCTTAAAAAAACAAAACAAAACAAAAAAAACTGATATTCTAAATGCCCCAGTGCTACTGTAGGAAGTAACTGATCTTTCTGGATATAACATATTACATGGAATCATGTTTCTTTTTTTTTTTTTTTTTTTTTTGAGACGGAGTTTCGCTCTTGTTACCCAGGCTGGAGTGCAATGGCGCGATCTCGGCTCACCGCAACCTCCGCCTCCTGGGTTCAGGCAATTCTCCTGCCTCAGCCTCCTGAGTAGCTGGGATTACAGGCACGCGCCACTATGCCCAGCTAAGTTTTTGTATTTTTAGTAGAGACGGGGTTTCACCATGTTGACCAGGTTGGTCTCGATCTCTTGACCTCGTGATCCACCTGCCTCGGCCTCCCAAAGGAATCATGTTTCTAAGAATAATCGGCATTTTCTTTTGCAGGAAGAGCAAGCAGTCAGACCAAAATACCTACTGGGTCGGGAAGTCACTGGAAACATGAGAGCCATCCTAATTGACTGGCTAGTACAGGTCCAAATGAAATTCAGGTTGTTGCAGGAGACTATGTACATGACTGTCTCCATTATTGATCGGTTCATGCAGGTGAGCATTTCAGTAATAGTTTTCCCTTTTGGGATTCTAGCTGTCATAAGAAAATGACTTTCAGCTAAAATCTTTCTTGGGAGATTTGATGTTATTAAGATTTTGCTATGGGAGAGTGACTGTGTCTACCTCTCTTCCATCATAGCTCTGTGTCTCCTTTTCACATATTTTATTCATCCTGTTAAAATTCCCATTGCAGAATAATTGTGTGCCCAAGAAGATGCTGCAGCTAGTTGGTGTCACTGCCATGTTTATTGCCAGCAAATATGAAGAAATGTACCCTCCAGAAATTGGTGACTTTGCTTTTGTGACTGACAACACTTACACTAAGCACCAAATCAGACAGATGGAAATGAAGATTCTAAGAGCTTTAAACTTTGGTCTGGGTCGGCCTCTACCTTTGCACTTCCTTCGGAGAGCCTCTAAGATTGGAGAGGTAAAGGTTTCTTGAGAAACTTTCCAGTATGGGTACATTAGGGAACACTGCTGCTGACCAAGCAAGTTGAATTCAATTAAGTTGTATTATACCTAACTACATGGGGAAGGGATAAAGATGTTCTTTATTTCTAGTTGGGCTGCATGTTAATATTAGGAATTTCCATGGGCACTTGCATTTGAGTTTGTAGACAAACATTTGTAGTTAAAGATACATATGGTTATGCAGTTTATTTCCAAAGGAAAATTTTCTGAAAGAAGCTCAGTGATGGGTTTTGTTTCAGGCTGATGTTGACCAGCATACTTTGGCCAAATACCTGATGGAACTAACTATGTTGGACTATGATATGGTGCACTTTCCTCCTTCTCAAATTGCAGCAGGAGCTTTTTGCTTAGCACTGAAAATTCTGGATAATGGTGAATGGGTAAGCTCTGTCCCACAGAACTCCTAAACTTTTAAATTGTAAAGAGTGTTTGACTGAATACAGGACTTTTGTTACTAAAAGGCACTTCAAGTGGTTCATAAATACGGTATCTACTGAAGGAATAGTTAAAAAAAGATGTCTTAGAATGTTTCTACTTTTTGTTTTTAAGACAAGGTCTTGTTCTGTCACACAGGCTGGAGCGCAGTGGTGCAATGTTGGCCCACTGCAAACCTCACCCTCCCCTAGCTAGTTTTAATTTTTTTCATGTCAATTGGGTAATATGCCCACATTGTAACAAGGTTTGAGGGTGGCATATTTCACACGTTCACGTGAACACCCAACCATTAGACTTATGAATTACAAAAGAGTCGCCCACCGGCCTGGGCAACATAGCAAATCCTCATCTTTACAAAAAATATTTTAGGCCGGGCGCGGTGGCTCAAGCCTGTAATCCCAGCACTTTGGGAGGCCGAGGCGGGTGGATCACGAGGTCGAGAGATCGAGACGAACCTGGTCAACATGGTGAAACCCCGTCTCTACTAAAAATACAAAAAATTAGCTGGGCATGGTGGTGCGTGCCTATAATCCCAGCTACTCAGGAGGCTGAGGCAGGAGAATTGCCTGAACCCAGGAGGCGGAGGTTGCGGTGAGCCGAGATCGCGCCATTGCACTCCAGCCTGGGTAACAAGAGCGAAACTCCGTCTCAAAAAAAAAAAAAAAAAATATTTTAAAACATATATATATATATACACACACACATACATATATATGTGTGTGTGTATACATACACACACATATATATATACACACACACATACATATTATATATATATATATACACACACACACACACACACACACACAGAGGCACGTGCCTGTAGTCCCAGCTACCCTGGAGGTTGAGCTTTGTAATTTTTGTAGAGACAAGGTCTCCTATCTTACCTAGGCTGGTCTTAGGCTGGGCTCAAGTGATCGGCCCACCTCCACTTCCCAAAGTGGTGGAATTGTAGGCATGAGCCATTGCAGCCAGCCAAGTGTTTCCATTTCTTAGCCTAATTTCAACTTTATTCCCTCTGAGAAAGGCAGAGTAGGCCGGGCGTGGTGGCTCACACTTGTAATCCAAGCACTTTGGAGTCCAAGGCAGGTGGATCACCTGAGGTGGGGAGTTTAAGACCAGCCTGACCAACATGGTGAAACCCCATCTTTATTTAAAAAAAAAAAAAAAGAAAAGAAAAAAAAAAAGAGAAAGGTAGAGTAACTTCTTACAGATGGAGAAACTTGAAGGTCAAATGACATACTAGTAGTTCATAATCATTCATTCAACAAATGCTTCTCCTATGTAGCAGATACTACTCTAGGTCTTAGGAATGGAACTATGACAAACTTGGCCTCAAGGAAGTGGAGTCTGGTTTTGGTGGGGGGCAAGTCAGTAATTACAATAATAAAATAATGAAATTAGGTGTGAGCACAGGTTCCTATGGAAGCATGAGAGCACCTGTCGCAGGACGAGTCTTAGGCTTTGTCTTAAATTTCAATTATATTAATAATTAGTTATGCAGTACTCATCCCTTCCCCACTCCTGAATAACATCTAACATCTAGAAACTTTATGAAAATCTTTACTGACTGAGCATTTTTAACATTAACTTTTGTTGTCTTAGACGCCAACTCTACAGCATTACCTGTCATACACTGAAGAATCCCTTCTTCCAGTTATGCAGCACCTGGCTAAGAATATAGTCATGGTAAATCAAGGGCTTACAAAGCACATGGTGAGTCAATCTAGCAGCCATGTAAGATGTTGAAAAGTGAAAATAATTCAAACAGCATATCTGCAAATGCCTGGTTTATTTTGAATGAGTCAATATTTTAAATGAATACCTGTATCATTGGATCTTATGACCTTTTTTCCTCTCTTTAATTGCTATGCTTTTGTCTTTCAGACTGTCAAGAACAAGTATGCTACGTCGAAACATGCTAAGATCAGCACTCTAGCACAGCTGAATTCTGCACTAGTTCAAGATTTAGCCAAGGCTGTGGCAAAGGTGTAACTTGTAAACTTGAGTTGGAGTACTATATTTACAAATAAAATTGGCACCATGTGCCATCTGTACATATTACTATTGCATTTACTTACTTTTAATAAAGCTTGTAGCCCCTTTTACTTTTTTATAGCTTAACCCATTTGAATGTGGTTACTTCCTCCTGTAGGGTAATGGAAAAGTTGTTTTAAAAGGTATGGTGGTGAATATTTTTAAAAACTGCTTTTGGTTTATCTGGGGACTCAATTAATGTATGTTTATATACTTGGTTCTTGTTTTATGTTTTATGTACCTGGCTTTTACTTTATTGATACGAGTTACAGAAGGTGATGGTGGTATTTGAAAACTTTACTTCCATAGGACATACTGCATGTACGCCAAGTCGTCATGGGGAATCGGCTGTGTAGCTCTTTTTTTTTTTTTCCTGAGTCTTGCTCTGTCGCCCAGGCTGGAGTGCAATGGGGTGATCTCAGCTCATTGCAATCTCCGCCTCCTGGGTTTAAGCAATTCTTCTTCCTCAGCCTCCGAAATAGTTGGGATTACAGGTCCCTGCCACCATGCCCAGCTAATTTTTTTTTCTGTGTTTTTTGTAGAGATGGGGTTTCACCATGTTTGCTAGGCTGGTCTTGAGCTCCTGACCTTGTGATCCGCCCACTTCCCAAAGTGCTGGGATTACAGGTGTGAGCCTGGAAGCTCTATTTTTAAAGTAAAAGTCTACCACCTCATCCCTAGTCCCCCGTTTTCTGTTTCTTCCGGTGATTGCTGCCATCATTCTAAGTTAATTACTTTTACCACTATTTAAGTTATCAACCTTAGCTAGGATCTTTTCACACGTTCGCTTTGAAAAATGAGAACTTATATTCTAAGCCCAGTTTTCATTTTGTTTTTGTCTTTTGGTTAAGAAAATAAAACAATGCTCAAATACAAAAGGTATCTTTTTTTAAAAGTTAATTTGACCCTTATACTCTTTCCAAATCCCACCCATCTGAAGGACATCAACAATTATGGATTTATCTTTCCATGCCTTGTATAAATATAGATGTGCATATGAATTTTTATTGGTTTATTTAAAATGTGGTTCATTCTATATAACTAACAATTACTTTCCTCACATAAGCCTACCTGTATTTGTGCATTATATTACGTAGTACAGATAAATAGTCATGTGCCCCATGAACATGTTGGTCAAACATAGACTACATATACAATGGTCCCATAAGATTATTATATCATATTTTTACTGTACCTTTTCTGTGTTTACAGAAATACTGACTTGTGTTATAATTGCCTGCAGTATTCAATAACATGGCGTGTAGGTCTGTAGCCTAGGAGCTATAAACTACACTATATAGCCTAGGAGTGTAGTAGGGTATGCCATCTAGATTTGTGAGTCCACTCTGATGTTAGAACAGTAAGTCATTTAATGACACATTCCTCAAACCATACCCAGTCATTAAGCAACACCTGGCTAACATATTCAACCATTTTCCCTGTTCATTCAGACTGCCTTTTTCTCTTTGCCCCTACAATTTTGTTTATATATTGTTTTATACCATGCTTTTATGTATTCTAGGTTCCCTAAAGCAAGCATGCATTTTAAATTTTGACAGAATCAGATGACATCAAAAAGTACCAGTTTTTTCTGCATTATTAAAACAGGCTGGGCCTGGTGGCTCATACCTGTAATCCCAGCACTTTGGGAGGCAGACGAAGGCAGATCGCAATGTCAGGAGTTTAACACAAGCCTAGCCAACATGGTGAAACTCTGTCTCTACTAAAAATATAAAAATTAGCCAGTCATGGTGGCAGGTACCTGTAATCCCAGCTACTTGGAAGGCTGAGGCAAGAGAATTGCTTGATAAATAATATAATAAAATTGAAGATAATCAGTCTTTTATTTCTATGACTCAAACTGGAAAAATATTTGCTGTTTTAACTTTTAACTTTTATTTTTATTTTTTGAGATGGAGTCTTGTACCATCACCCAGGCTGGAGTGCAGTGGCATGATCTCTGCTCACTGCAACCTCTGCCTCCCAGGTTCGAGCAATTATCCTGCCTCAGCCTCCCAGGTAGCTAGGATTACAGGTACCTGCCATCATACCTGGCTAATTTTTTTTTTTTTTAAGTATTTTTAATAGAGATGGGGTTTCACCATGTGTACCAGTTCTTGAACTGGTCTTGAACTCCTGACCTCAAGTGATCTGTCCCACTTGGCCTCCCAAAATGCTGGGATTGGGAGTGAGCCACCGCACCCAGCCTGTTTTAACTTTTGATAGCAAGTTGAATAAATTTGTCTACTTGTCAACAATATGGAATACTTTCCTACTTTGTCATTTTCCTTTTGACTGTTTATGCTATCTTTTGCCAGGCAGGAAAACTTAAGTTTTCATATTATCAAATCTACTTTTCCTGTAGTTGCTTTTGGATTTTCAGTTTTAAGATCAACTTTATCTGCACGTAGGCAAGCACGTAAATAAAAAATAGAAAAAGGAAACTAAGATCAACTTAATCCCCAAACCAAGGTTTTCTAAAAATCTAAATTTTTCGCATTTAGGCTCTGTAATCTTTCAGTAAGCAATTTTTATATGTGGTGCAAAGTAGAATTCTTCCAGATGGATACCCATATATGCCAGTGCTGTGATTGAAACCCTCCTTGTCCAACTTGAAATATCTTCACTGGGCACGGTGGCTCACGCCTGTAATCCCAGCGCTTTGGGAGGCTGAGGTGGGCGGATCACGAGGTCAGGAGTTTGAGACAAGCCTGGCCAACATAGTGAAACACCGTCTCTACTAAAACTACAAAAAAATTTAGCCAGGTGTGGTGGCATGTGCCTGTAATCCTAGCTACTCCGGAGGCTGAGGCAGGAGAATCACTTGAACCCGGGAGTCGGAGGTTGTGGTGAGCTGAGATCACACCACTGCACGAGACTGTCTCCGGGAAAAAAAAAAAAATCTAGGCTGGGCACGGTGGCTCACGCCTGTAATCCCAGCACTTTGGGAGGCCGAGGTGGGTGAATCACAAGGTCGGGAGTTCAATACCAGCCTGGCCAATATAATGAAACCCTGTCTCTACTAAAAATATAAAAAATTAGGCTGGGGTGGTGGTGCATGCCTGTGATCCCAGCTATTCAGGATGCTGAGGCAGGATAGTTGCTTGAACCGGAAAAGCAGAGGTTGCAGTGAGTGGAGATGATGACACTGCACTCAAGCCTGGACAACAGAATGAGATTCTGACTCAAAAAAAAAAAACTTCAATGCCCATCTATTGTTCCCTGATCTTGTTTTTTCCTGTGATAATACAATAGTTTTACCAGTTTGTCAAGTAAGATGAGGCTTACCAAATATGTAGGGGTACTACCAAACACTTTTTCATAAAAACTTTAAAATTGTTATGTACGGTTACCAAAAATTTGAGTGTTTTTTTGTTTTTTGTTTTTTGTTTTTATTTTTTTTAATTTTTTTTAATTTATTTTATTTTATTATTTTTTTTTTATTTTTTGAGACGGAGTTTCGCTCTTGTTACCCAGGCTGGAGTGCAATGGCGCGATCTCGGCTCACCGCAACCTCCGCCTCCTGGGTTCAGGCAATTCTCCTGCCTCAGCCTCCTGAGTAGCTGGGATTATAGGCACGCACCACCACGCCCAGCTAATTTTTTGTATTTTTAGTAGAGACGGGGTTTCACCATGTTGACCAGGTTGGTCTCGATCTCTCGACCTCGTGATCCACCCGCCTCGGCCTCCCAAAGTGCTGGGATTACAGGCTTGAGCCACCGCGCCCGGCCTGTTTTTTGTTTTTAAACAGAGTCTCACTCTGTTGCCCAGGCTGGAGTGCAGTGGCACGATCTTGGCTCATTGTAACCTTTGCCTCCCGATTCAAGCAATTCTTCTGCCTCAGCCTCCTGAGTAGCTGGGATTACAGGTGTGCGCCACCACACACGCCCAGCTGACTTTGTATTTTTAGTAGAGGGGGTTTTACCATGTTGGCCAGGCTGCTCTAACTTTTGACCTCAGGTGATCTGTCTGCCTCTGCCTCCCAAAGGGCTTGGATTACAGGCATGAGCCACTGCACCCGGCCCTCCTTTGAGATTTTGACTATACATTATGAACTAGCTTGGGTTAGACTGGCATATTGTCTTACCATCTAGAAACTTCAATAATCCTTGTTGCATGCCCCTCAGTAACTTTGGAATTTAATTGTATAATTCCGCTACTTTCTTAAATTTATGGCTGGGTTTATGGGTTTTGCCTTTTGTCACTATTGTGAATGAGATATATTTCCCACTTCTGTTTTTTAAAATTTTTTTCTTCGTCTCCCTAGTAGTGTAGCCCACTCTTATTTTCTTTTCTTTTCTTTTTTTTTTTTTTCTTTTTTTTTAAGACAGAGTTTTGCTCTTATCCAGGCTGGAGTGCATGGCTTGATGTTGGCTCACTGCAACCTCCGCCTCCCAGGTTCAAGTGATTCTGCTGCCTCAGCCTCCTGAGTAGCTGGGACTACAGATGCCCGTCATGATGCCTGGCTAATTTTGTATTTTTAATAGATATAGGGTTTTATCATGTTAGTCCAGCTGGTCTCAAACTCCTGACCTAAGTTGATCCAACCACCTCGGCCTCTCAAAGTGCTGGGATTACAAGCATGAGCCACTGCGCCCAGCCTTGTTTTGTTTTAAATAGAGGCAGGGTCTCACTCTGTAGCCCAGGTTGGAGTACAGTGGTGCAATCATAGTGCACTGCAGCCCTGAACTCCTGGGCTCCAGCTATCCTACCACCTCAGCTTCCTGAGTAGCTATGACTACAGGTGCGATAACCACATTCAGCTAATTATTTTTCCTTTTTTTGTGTAGAGATGGGGGGGTCTCACTGTGTTGTCCAAGCTGGTCTCAAACTGGCCTCAAGTGACTCTCCCACCTCGGCCTCTTAAAGCACTTCTAATTATTTAATTTCCTAACCAGTTGACATCAATTTTCCTTCTTTATTTTATTTTACTTTATTTTTTATTTTATTTTATTTTTTTTTTTGAGACGGAGTTTCGCTCTTGTTACCCAGGCTGGAGTGCAATGGCGCGATCTCGGCTCACCGCAACCTCTGCCTCCTGGGTTCAGGCAATTCTCCTGCCTCAGCCTCCGGAGTAGATGGGATTACAGGCACGTGCCACCATGCCCAGCTAATTTTTTGCATCTTTAGTAGAGACGGGGTTTCACCATGTTGACCAGGATGGTCTCGATCTCTTGACCTCGTGATCCACCCGCCTCGGCCTCCCAAAGTGCTGGGATTACAGGCTTGAGCCACCGTGCCCGGCTATTTTTTATTTTTTATTTTTTTTGAGACAGAGTCTCACTCCATCGCCAGGCTGGAGTGCAATGGCATGATCCCGGCTCACTGCAACTTCCATTTTCTGGTTTCAAGCAATTCTCTTGCCTCAGCCTCCGAGTAGCTGGGACTACAGGCACACACAGCCACACCCGGCTAATTTTTTGTACTTTTAGTAGAGATGGGGTTTCACCATGTTGGCCAGGATGTCTCGATCTCTTGACCTCGTGATCCGCCCGCCTCTGCCTCCCAAAGTCCTTCTTTATTTTTTATTGGAGAATTTTCTAGTTCTTAAATCCAAAAGTTTCACTTTTATAATATTAGAATCTCCAAAATAATCAGTGATAATAGATGGTTTCCTTTCCTTGAATTGATGTCACACAGTAATAGAAACTATAAAGATCAATTAAATAACAAAAAATATCAAATGATAAAAATACTGTGTCGAGTTTATTTACTTTTAAAATTTTTATTCCATGATGTACTCAAACTGTGTGGAGTTTTTAATAGGCAAGGTTGTGGAATTCCATTAACATTTGCAGCATATGATATTTTGGTTTTTCTTTTTTAATATAGTCACATTAGAGATTTCCTATGGTGAAATGAATTCTTGCTTATGGCATATACATTTAATGTAATATTTCACTTAGAAATTTTTGCAGCTCATGGAAGATGGGCTTGGTTTTTATTGCTACTGTTGTTTGGTGTCTTATTTTACTAGCTTTAAGGTAGATTAGAGAGGGTTTCTTTTTTTTTTTTTTTTTGAGACGGAGTTTCGCTCTTGTTACCCAGGCTGAGTGACAGAGTGAGACCGTGACTCTAAAAATCAAAAACAAAAAAACTCTACCACAAGAGTCTTGCTGTTGCCAGGCTGGAGTGCAATCTCGGCGCACTGCAACTCAGCCTCCTGGGTTCAAGTGATTCTTCCGCCTCCGCCTCCTGAGTAGCTGGGACCAGAGGCGTGTGCCACCACGCCTGCCTAAATTTTGTATTTTTAGTAGAGACGGAATTTCACCGTGTTGGCCAGGATGGTCTCAATCTCTTGACCTTGTAATCCGCCCACCTCGGCCTCCCAAAGTGCTGGGATTACAGGCGTGAGCCACCAAGCCCGGCCTTTTTTTTTTTTTGAGATGGAGTTTTACTCTTGTTGCCCAGGCTAGAGTGCAATGGCACAATCTCGGCTCACTGAAACCTCTGCCTCCCAGGTTCAAGCGAGTCTCCTGCCTCAGCCCCGCTTACCCGGTCACCCCCAACCCCCCCAACCTCCAAACCCCCAAACCCCCACTTCCCAGCGCATGTAGCTGGGATTACAGACATGCGCCACCACGTCTGGCTAATTTTGTATTTTTTATTAGAGATGGGGTTTCTTCTTGTTGGTCAGGCTGGTCTTGAACTCCTAACCTCAGGTGATCCGCCAGCCTCGGCCTCCCAAAGTGCTGGGATTACAGGTGTGAGCCACTGTGCTTCGCCCACAATCTTAGCACACTAAGAAAACTAGTAACTTAATATCTAATATGCAGAACATATTCAAATTTCTTCAACTGTTCCAAAAATGTATTAGGGCTTTTTTTTTTTTTTTCCAATCCAAGATTCAATCATGGTTTGTTTTGCCATATGGAACAACTGCCTGGCTTTTTGTTTTTCAGGGTATAGACCCTGCCTGTCGGGGGAGGGGAAGCAATTCTCCTGTCTCAGCCTCCCGAGTAGCTGAGATTACAAGCACGTGCCCCTGTGCCCGACTAATTTTTGCATTTTTAGTGGAGATGGGGTTTCACCATTTTGGCCAGGCTGGTCTCAAACTCCTGGCCTCAAGTGATCCGCCCGCCTCAACCTCCCAAGGTTGAGGATTATAGGCGTGAGCCACCGTGCCAGCCCTTACACTCACCCTTTTTTGTTATTTTACTGTAGGTGTTTTAAATTCAGTGTTTTATCACCCTTTATGGTGGTAGTTCTCAGTGTCCTCCTCAATGAGCAACATTACCTGGGAACTTGTTAAAACTGCAACTGTACTTGGGAACTTGTTACAAATGCAAATCAGAATCCGAGAGGCACCCCAGCTATGTGTTTTAACAAGGTCTCCCTCTTGGCCAACATGGTGAAACCCTGTCTCTACTGAAAATATAAAAAAATTAGCTGGGCATGGTGGTGCGTGCCCGTAGTCCCAGCTACTTGGGAGGTTGAGGCAGGAGAATCGCTTGAACCTCAGAGGTAGAGGTTGCAGTGAGCCAAGACTGCACCACTGCACTCCAGCTTGGCGACAGAGTGAGACTGTGTCTCAAAAAAAAAAAAAAAAAAAAGTATCCGGCATGGTGGCTCATGCCTGTAATCCCAGCACTTTGGGATGCCACGGTGGATGGATCACAAGGTCAGGGGTTTGAGACCATCCTGGCCAATATGGTGAAACCTGGTCTCTACTAAAAATACAAAATTAGCTGGTTGTGGTGGTGCATGCCTGTAATCCCAGCTACTTGAGAGGCTGAGGCAGAATTGCTCGAATCTAGGAGGTGGAAGTTGCAGTGAGCCAAGATCGTACCACTGCACTCCAGCCTGAGAGTGAGACTCTGTGTCTCCTCCCAATTCTCACCTTGGATAACCGTTGCATTATTATTATTATTATTTAAATTTTTGAGACAGAGTCTTTTTTTTTTTTGCATTTTAGTGGAGATGGGTATTTCACCATGTTGGCCAGGCTGGTCTCAAACTCCCAACCCCTCAGGTGATCTGCCACTTTGGCCTCCCAAAGCGGCAGGATTACAGGCCTCAGCGACTGCACACTGCATTATTTTTGTCCCAGATTTGGCCGGTGGACCTGATAGGCAACTAAGTGCTTAAAAGGATGAGATTGTTGTGAAATAGTGGAAGGTACCCACTAAGTGGTAAAGTGAAAAAGTTGAGAACAGGGTCACCCTTTTGGTAAAACAAAATGAAACAAGAAAATGTTCCATAAGTTTATGCGTAGGAATAGCAAATCTAATGCCTTATTTTACATCCTGTGCCTTTTTTTTTTTTTGAGACAGGGTCTCCCTCTGTCACTCAGGCTGGAGAGCAGTGGTGTGATCATAGGTCACTGTAGCCCTCAACGGCCCAGGCACAAGTGATCCTCCCACCTCAGCCTCCTGAGTAGCTGGGACAACAGGTGTAAGTCACCACACCTGGGTATTTTGCTATTATTGTTATTATTATTTAGTAGAAAGGGCTCACTATGCTTCCTAGGCTGGTCTCGAACTCCTGGCCTCAAGCGATCCTCCCGCTTTGGCCTCCCGAAGTGCTGGGATTACAGGCATGAGTTACGGCGCCCAGCCTATTCTGCCTCTTTTGAATTTAACTCTCCCCACCCCTCCACAGAGTTTTGTTCTATCGCCCAGGCTGGAGTGCAGTGGTGCGATCCAACTCACTAAAACCTCTGCCCCGCGGGTTCAAGCGATTGTCCTGCCTCAGCCTCCATAGTAGCATGGGATTACCGTCGCCGGCCACCACACTTGGCTAATTTTTGTATTTTTAGTAAAGTCGGGATTTCACCATGTTGGCTAGGCTGGTCTCGAACTCCTGACTTCAGGTGATCCACCTGCCTCAGACCCCCAAGGTGCTGGGATTACAGGCATTAGCCACCACACCCGGCGAATTTATCAGGAACTGTGTAACACTGATAATACAGAGGAGGAAAACAGCACAGTATGATCAAGTTTAACTAGGGGGCAATTCGCTGTAAAAGAACTCTTGGATCTCTTGTTTAAAGAGGCTCAAGCTGCTGTGCTTGTGCGACAAGGGTAGTTAGTGTCCCTCACATAGCCGACGATAATAAAAAACTACAAATCAGTCATTTGTCCTTCATTTTCTCCATTCTCCCCGCTCACTACACAGCTAAGAAAGCTCAAAGGTACCTTGCAAACACTCAAAGCAGACACTTGAGGGCACCCAACTCTCAGTTACGAGGGGTGCCAGTCATAATGACAGAACGAAGTACCACTGAAAGAGACTGAAAGCGTGTGGATGTCTCCAGGCTGGAAGTCTGGGCTGGAAATGTCAGCAATGCCTCGTACTTGTGGCCCGTGGGTATCCCAGAACTTCAGAAACCACTGGTTTCTCCGCCAAACGAAGGATATGCACCCCATGGGCTCAGATCAAAAAACTCTTCTAAACAACCCTCTAATGTTTGTCTTTCACAGCCTGCCAGGCACACCCATCTTCAAAGGCAGCGGACGGAAAAGAAGTGCCAAGATGGAAGCACAAATGGCTGTCGCCGCGCTCCCCGCGTCCCAGCGCCAACGCCGAATGACCATTTAGGTCAGGAGATTTTTCCCCTCCAAGCTGCTGTTCCTGGGAGGTGTCCCAACGTCTCTGGTCCAGCCCCTAGCTCAGCCCTCCATACACCCGAAGTTTAACAAAAACTCGTCCAACTTTTTACCAGTGGTCTGCAACGATTTTCACCAGCAGAGGCTGGATGAAAGACTAGCGAGCGGTAAAACACGGCAACCAGAAAACCGGGCGGAAAGGGCGGGGCCCTGGGCGGAAGGGGCGGGGTTCTCAAGCCTTCTCCCGGCGTCCGTTTAGCGGCGGGAAAAGCGACCTCTTCGCAGTGGCCTTTTCCTGCTGAGTGGTAGCCTTTCCCTTCAGCCAGCAATGGAGGAGCAGCCCCAGAAGCAAGCTGCTGATCAGCCCGCGGACTCCGGAGGGGAAGGCGGGGCAGGCGGGCCGTCGCAGGTCGCCGGCGACCAGGCGGCGCGCAGCGAGGACCGCATGACCCTGCTACTCAGGTTGTTCCCTCTGGCTGCCTCAGCCGGAGCCAAGTGGGAGTCATGGGCCGGAGCTCCGCCCTTTGCTCAGAAGGACTTGGGTTCGAATTCACACTCGGTCACGTCTTGGCTCCGTGATTGCCTCATTCATTGAAACTCTTTATTCATCGGCGAAAAGGAGAGAAAAATGACACCCTGGTAGAGAGGCTATAGGGTTAAATGAGATTGTCTAGGAAAGTGTTGAGCACAGTGCCCCGGGCCCTTAGAAAGTCCTTAGAAGCTGTAATTTCTCCTGTTTCCCCCGCCTCACGCCCTGGGTCTCTGGTTTTCAGACGAGGTGAATGTCAGAGCTAAACTGGAAGGAAGGTGCCCCTACCATTTTTTTTTTTTTTGTAACTACGACCCCTTTGTAACCCAGAAGCTTTATTTGTTATTCTAAGGGTGGCTGAGAAAAAGGAGAATAGACCCAAAGTCAGGCAAGCAAGTTTTATTAACTTGCCGGGCTGCTGGGTAACAATCAGAAGAGGCAGCCCCGAGCTTACAAAACGAAGGGTTTATATGGGGCGAGAGGGGCATAGGGAGTTGCAGGGCTGAGGTCATCTATCCGGTGGTAACAGGCACAGAGATCGTTTGTCAAGTTGTAACAGACTCACAGTACATCATCCTATGACTTTTGTGGCGGCAGTTTTTTAAAAAAGAGAGAAACCCTATGAGTCAAACAAGAATATTCAAGTATAGATAATAAACATTTGTTTTCCCTGTCCTCCCTCGAGCTGCCCGGATGGCTGTAATCAGGCTTTGCTTAATTGTAGCACATCTGGCAGCCTTGGTGTGGCACCTCGGTAGTGGTTCAGGAATGCAGCGGCGGAGCAATCAGTGGGAGGGAAGGGGTCAGCTTACACGGAGGGCGTTTTCTGAGGCAGCTTGTCACTGTTGTTATATATTCTTCTAAGGGGACGATGTTTATACGTTTCCACTAAGCGGTTGCTGGAGATTCGATGAGAAGGGGTATGTCTTCTAAAGCAGTGAGCAGGCGAAGTTCCTGGACGAAATCTGCCCAACTGCCTATTTTTTTTTTTTTTTTTTTTTTTTTTTTTTGAGACGGAGTTTCGCCCTTGTTACCCAGGCTGGAGTGCAATGGTGCAATCTCGGCTCACCGCAACCTCCGCCTCCTGGGTTCAGGCAATTCTCCTGCCTCAGCCTCCTGAGTAGCTGGGATTACAGGCACGTGCCACCATGCCCAGCTAATTTTTTGCACTTTTAGTAGAGACGGGGTTTCACCATGTTGACCAGGATGGTCTCGATCTCTCGACCTCGTGATCCACCCGCCTCGGCCTCCCACCAACTGCCTATTTTTGTGTGACTCAAGCTAAGAATAATTTTTGTGTTTGTTTAAGTGGTTGCAGGAAAAGATCATAAAAATATTTCATAATACATGAAATCGATTAGAAATTCAAATTGCAGTGTCCATAAAGTTTTATTGGAATACAACTTTCCTGCCACAAGGGTGGAATTGAGTAGCTAAAAGAGACCATGTGACTCACAAACCTTAAAAAATTTGCCATCAGCCCCTTTGCAGAAAAAAATTTTCAGTCCTTTTTTTTTTTTTTTTTTTTTTTTTTGAGACGGAGTTTAGCTCTTGTTACCCAGGCTGGAGTGCAATGGCACGATCTCGGCTCACCGCAGCCTCCGCCTCCTGGGTTCAGGCAATTCTCCTGCCTCAGCCTCCTGAGTAGCTGGGATTACAGGCACGCGCCACCATGCCCAGCTAATTTTTTTTGTATTTTTAGTAGAGACGGGGTTTCACCATGTTGACCAGGATGGTCTCGATCTCTTGACCTCGTGATCCACCCGCCTCGGCCTCCCAAAGTGCTGGGATTACAGGCTTGAGCCACCGCGCCCGGGTTTCAGTCCTCTCTTCTATGTCATAACAAAGGTAGTTTCAAAACAATCATTTTGGGCCCAGCACGGTGGTTCACGCCTCTAACACTTTGGAAGGTGCAGGCGGACGGAACACCTGAAGTCAGGAGTTCAAGACCAGCCTGGCCAACCATGGCTAACATGGTGAAACCCTGTCTCTACTAAAAATACAAAACCTAGCCAGGCATGGTGGCGCACACCTGTAATCTCAGCTACTCGGGAGGCTGAGACAGGAGAATCACTTGAACCTGGGAGGTGGAGGTTGCAGTGAGCCAAGATTATGCCACTGCACTCCAGCCTGGGTGACAGAGCAACCTCATTACTTATCTGCTTGTCCCAGAAAATAAATAAACTCAAAAGGCAGTTTCAGAATTCTAAAACTGTCTTGCAAGTGTGAAATATTTTGTAAATACAATTTATTTGTGAGGCCGAGGTAGGCAGATCATGAGGTCAGGAGCTTGAGACCAGCCTAACCAAAATGGTGAAACCCCATCTCTACTAAAATTATAAAAATTAGCCAGGTGTGGTGGCAGGTGCCTGTAATCCCAGCTACTCAGGAGTCTGAGGTAGGAGAATTGCTTGAACCTGCGAGGCAGAGGTGCAGTGAGCTGAAGACTGTGCCTTTAAACTCCAGCCTGGGCAACAGTGAGACTTCGACTCAAAAAAAAAAAAAAGTAATAACTACCATTTTTTTCTTTTTTCTTTTTTTAATGTTTTGAAGAATGAAAAGATACCTATTTCTTTTTTATTGTCTTTTCCTCCTCACCCTTGCTGTCATCTTAAATTACCATTTGCTCATAGTTTTTCTACTTATGTATGATTTTAGATTAAAAGAACTGAAAAGCTATATGAATTACTAATCTAAGGATTAGTATCTTTGTTATTGTTATGTCTCTCCTGATAAAATCTGTGTTTATAAATAATTACACTGGTTTGGAGTTTAATCATTTTGGTCTATTTCTTCTTTGTATAGCATCCTAAGTTCAGTCTGGCCTATTAATAAAGTTAAAAGCCAGTTTTTTAAACCTTTCCTCATAGATACTATTTTTGCTTTTGGGTCGTCCTTTGAGGTCTTGAAGTTCTTTATGCCTATTTTATTTTATTATTATTTTATTTTTTATTTTTGAGATGGAGTCTCACTCTGTTGACCAGGCTGGAGTACAGTGGCGCAATCTTGGCTCACTGCAACCTCCGCCTCCCGGGTTCAAGCAATTCTCCTGCCTCAGCCTCCCAAGTAGCTGGTACTATAGATGCCTGCCACCACGGCCGGCTAATTTTGTGTGTGTGTGTGTGTGTGTGTGTGTGCGTTTTTTCTTTTTTTGGCTGTTTCCATCTTGAGCATTTGCAGCTGAATTTTTTTTTTTTTTTTTTTAGTAGTAGAGATGGGGGTTTCACCATTTTAGCCAGGATGGTCTCTCCATCTCCTGAACTGGTGATCCACCTGCCTCAGCCTCCCAAAGTGCTGGAATTATAGGCATAAGCCACTGCACCTGGCTGTTTATGCCCATTTTAAATAAAATGAGGGAAACTAGAAGTTTGTAATTCTTAGTTTAATTATTTATACTTATTTTCTTGTATCAGCTTCTGGAAAAGATGAGTTGGTTCATCATGTGGTAATGAGTAAAACCTCAGTCAATAAATATGTGACTTTCTATTCTCTATCTGTTTTCAGGCTGAGAGCACAGACGAAACAACAACTCTTAGAATATAAATCAATGCTTGATGCAAGTAAGTATTTTCATTTTCAATAGGGTTTTTGTTTGTTTGTTTTCTGAGACAGGGTCTTGCTCTGTCATCCAGGCTGGAATGCAGTTGCACAGTCTCCGGCTTACTGCAACCTTAGCCTCCTGGGCTCCAGTAGTCCTCCCACCTTAGCCTCTGAAGTAGGTGGGACCACAGGCACATGCCACCGCACCCAGCTAATTTTTTGTATTTTTTGTAGAGACAGGGTTTTGCCATCACATCCAGCCTCAAGTAAGATTTTGATTTATCAAGGGAAAAGAAAATCAGTTTTATCAAAAATTATTTATATATGTCTAGTGTACCAAAACTGGTAAACAAGCATGCGGCATATTTATGAAGTGTAAGTATAATGAGGAAAACAATGGCATGATAAGAGGGAGGGGCTTCTTTACATAGAGATAGCTTCTCTAAGATGATTTTAGAGCTCAGATCCAAATGAGAAAAAAGAGTTTACATTCCTGTAGTCTTTGTTTTCTCTATATAGCTAATATCTTTTTTTTTTTTTTTTTTTTTTTTGAGATGGAGTCTCACTCTGTCACCAGACTGGAGTGGAGGGGCGCATTCTCGGCTAACGGCAACCTCTGCCTCCCAGGTTCAAGCAATTCTCCTGCCTCAGCCTCCCAAGTAGCTGGGATTATAGGCTTGCGCCACCACACCCAGCTAATTTTTCTATTTTTAGTAGAGACGGGCTTTCACCATGTTGGCCAGGATGGTCTTGATTTCTTGACCTGGTGATCCGCCCTCCTTGGCCTCCCAAAGCGCTGGGATTACAGGTGTGAGCCACCGCACCTGGCCCAGCTAATACCATTTTTAAGGGATTATGACATCCAAAAACTTGGGGAGATTTAGTTAACATTGTAGAATTTCTATACCTAGGAGAAGACAGATGTATGGCAGGCCACAGGAAATTTAGTTGTAGCTTTTGAAAGAAGATGTTTATCTAAAATTGACTATCTGCACTTTTAGAGGTCAAGGCAGGAAGATCACTTGAAGCTAGGAGTCTGAGATTAGCCTGGGCAACAAAGTGATACCTCGTCCCTACAAAAATAAAAAAATTTAGCCGGATGTGGTGATACGTACCTATAGTCCATCTGGTACTCACTGCAGCCTCCAACTCCTGGGCTCAAGTGATTGAACCACTGTACTGGACTCCACTCCACTGGGTGATAGAGTGAGACTGTCAAGCAATCAATAGATAGAGAAATAAGTATTGATTATTTTACTATTAAAAAAATATATATATATATTACTGAGACTTCATTGGTTAAAGGATTGTTTTTTACAGCATAGGCATCTATTTTAAGGTAAAATTTGATGAGTTTTGACAGATGTCTAAATCTGTATCATCATTACCATAATCATGATACAGAACATTTTCGTCTGAGCATGGTGAATCAATCTGTAATCCCAGCACTTTGGGAGGCCAAGGTGAGAGAATTGCTTGAGCCCAGGGCAACCAGCCTAGGCAATTTAGCAAGACCCCATCTTTACAAAAAATAAAAAACAAATTGGCCGGGTATGGTGCTACGCACCTGTAGTCCCACCCAGCTGAGGTAGGAGGATTGTTTGAGCCTGGGATATCAAGGCTGCAGTGAGCCAAGATCACAACCATTGCACTCCATCCAGCCTGGGTGACAGAAGGAAACCCTGTCTCCAAAAAACTAAGATACAGGGTGCTGTAATTCCAGCACTTTGGGAGGCTGAGGCAGGCGGATCATGAGGTCAGGAGATCAAGACCATCCTGGCTAACACGGTGAAACCCTGTCTCTACCGAAAATACAAAAAATTAGATGGGCATGGTGGTGGGTGCCTGTAGTCCCAGCTATTCACGAGGCTGAGACAGGAGAATCACTTGAACTCGAGAGGCGGAGGTTGCAGTGAGCTGAGATCATGCCACTGCATTCCAGCCTGGGCGACAGCAGAGCAAGACTCCGTCTCAAAAAAAAAAGAAAAAGATATAGAACATTGGCCGGGCGCAGTGGCTCAAGCCTGTAATCCCAGCACTTTGGGAGGCCGAGGCGGGTGGATCACGAGGTCGAGAGATCGAGACCATCCTGGTCAACAAGGTGAAACCCCGTCTCTACTAAAAATACAAAAAGTTAGCTGGGCATGGTGGTGCGTGCCTGTAATCCCAGCTACTCAGGAGGCTGAGGCAGGAGAATTGCCTGAACCCAGGAGGCGGAGGTTGCGGTGAGCCGAGATCGCGCCATTGCACTCCAGCCTGGGTAACAAGAGCGAAACTCCGTCTAAAAAAAAAAAAAAAAAAAAAAGATATAGAACATTTTCATACCAAAATAATCCCGTGTGCCACTTCACAGTCAGTCCCCACCCTTTCCTCCAGCAACCACCAATTTGATTTCTGTTACTGTAGAATTGTCTTCTAGAGTTGTGCTATCCAGTATGGTAACTACTAGCCACATATGGCTTTTTTTTAAATTTTTTATTTAAAAGACAGAGTCTTTATCTTGTTGCTGAGGCTGGAATATAATGGCCCGATCTCAGCTCACTGCAAACTCCACCTCCCGAGTTCACGGGATTCTCCTGCCTCAGCCTCCCAAGTAGCTGGGATTACAGGCACACACCACCACACATGGCTAATTTCTTGTATTTTTAGTAGAGATGGGGTTTCACCATGTTTGCCAGGCTGGTCTCTTAACTCCTGACATCAGGTGATCCACCACCTCGGCCTCCCAAAGTGTTGGGATTACAGGTGTGAGCCACCGTGCGTGGCCACATGTGTGGCTTTTCAAAGCTAATTAAAATTAAATAAAATTTAAAATTAGGTGCATATCAAATGCTCAGTAGCCACATGTGGCTAGTGGTTACCCTATGGGATAGCATAGATATGAAGCCTTTCCATCATCACAGCAAGTTCTGGGCTTTTTTTCTGTTCCATTAAGGTATTTGTTGATCCTTACACAAGTACCACATTGTCTTTGTGGGGTGTTTTTTTTTTGTTTTTTTTTTTTTTGAGACTGTCTCGCTCTGCCACCCAGGCGAATGCAGTAGCAAGATCTTGGCTCACTGCAACCTCCACCTCCTGGGCTCAAGCAATCCTCCCGACTCAGCCTCCCAAGTAGCTGGGACTACAGGCATGTGCCATCATGCCTGGCTAATTTTTAGCAGAGACAGAGTTCCACTGTGTCGCCCAGGCTGGTCTCAAACTCCTGGACTCAAGCAATGTGGTTGGTTAGTCATCATTGTCCTGGACTCAAGCAATATAGTTAGTCATCATTGAGATGGGTAGTAAATGTAAAATACAAACAGAATAAAAGTGAAATATTTTGTTAATAATGTTAAATTGACTACACATTGAAAATTTTGGCTCTATTGGGTTAAATAAGTATATTAAAATTAAATTTCACTGTTTTTCTTCTAATGTAAAAATGACATTTTAAATGATGTTTTTGCCCTTCTGGCTTACATTATATTCCTTTTGGATGGCATTGTTCTAAAATGTTAGTAACTTCAAAAAATTATTTATTTGCAGGTGAAGAAAAAACTCCAGAACAAATTATGCAAGAAAAGCAAATCGAAGTGTATGTTATATTTTAAAATTTTGTTTATGGTCTTTACTAAGATTTAATCATATTTTCTATTATTTCATTGTTGTTAGAGATGGAGTCTATCACACAGGCTGGAGTGCAGTGGTGTGATCATAGTTCATAGAAGCCACAACCTCCTGGGTTCTAGGGAACCTCTGGCCTCAGCCTTCTGAGTAGCTGGAACTACAGGCTTATTGTACCATACCCAGCTTTTTTTTTTTTTTTTTAAATATTTTGGGGTTGAATGCCTGTAATCCCAGCACTTTGGGAAGCTGAGGTGGATAGATCACCTGAGGTCAGGAGTTCAAGACCAGCCTGACCAACATGGAGAAACCCCGTCTCTACTAAAAATATAAAATTGGCAAGGCTTGGTGACGCATGCCTGTAATCCCAGCTACTCGGGAGTCTAAGGCAGAATTACTTGAACCTGGGAGGTGGAGGTTGCAGTGAGCCGAGATCGCACCATTGCACTCCAGCCTGGGCAACAAGAGCGAAACTCTGTCTCAAAAAATATGTATATATATATATTTTATAGAGATTGGGGCCTCACTTCGTGCCCAGGCTGTTCTCAAACTCCTGGCCTCAAGAGATCCTCCACCTTGGCCTCCCAAAGTTCTGGGATTGTAGGCAAGAGCCACTGAGCCTGGTCATAATCTCATTTTCTATGCTATAACATTGTCTTTCTTTTTCCTTTCCTTTATTTTTCCAAGTAATTTGTGATGAATATATTGGGAAATTGTTAATTTGGGATGGAGATTTATATGTACACAAATTATCACATTAGAACTTTCCGGCCTCCCTTTTTACAAGATACTGAGTCAAGTAGCTCAGGGGCATTAGTTTACCAAGTGTGTAAATACACATTGGTATAGTGAGCCTGTAGAACACTTTTATTTACATAAATGTGTTTTACATTTTTCAAGGGCTTGCTTTATACATTTATTTCAATGTCTTTTTCTGATACTGCTGAAATTCTTTTGCTCATGTTTCTTTGATAGTAAAATTGAAGACCTGGAAAAAGAAATTGAAGAGGCGAAAATTGCTTTTGAGATAAAACAGCTTGCAATTGACAGGTAATCATTACATTTTAAATGTAAGCATTGTAAACTGAAAGCAAAATGGATATAAGGGCAAAGTGGAGGGAATCTTTTAACTGGGCTAAATGACTTAGTCAAGCACAATGATGATTAGATAATGGTCATACAAATATTTTATTAATATTATTTTTTTGAGATGGAATCTTGCTCTTTTGCCAGGCTGGAGTACAATGGTGTGATCTTGGCTTACTGCAACCTCTGTCTCCTGGATTCAAGCGATTCCCCTTGCCTCAGCCTCCTGAGTAGCTGGGACTACAGGTGTGCCCCACCACAGCCGGCTAATTTTTTGTATTTTAGTAGAGACAGGATTTCACCATGGCCAGAATGGTCTCGATCTCCTGACCTCATGATCCACCCGCCTTGACCTCCCAAATTACTGGGATTACAGGCTTAAGCCACAGCGCCCAGCCTAATATTATTATTAATATTATTTATTTATTTATTTATTTATTTATTTATTTTGAGACAGAGTTTCGCTCGTTACCCAGGCTGGAGTGCAATGGCACGATCTTGGCTCATTGCAACCTCCGCCTCCTGGGTTCAGGCAATTCTCCTGCCTCAACCTCCTGAGTAGCTGAGATTACAGGCACGCGCCACCATGCCCAGCTAATTTTTTTGTATTTTTAGTAGAGACGAAATTTCACCATGTTGACCAGGATGGTCTCAATCTCTTGACCTCGTGATCCACCCGCCTTGGCCTCCCAAAGTGCTGGGATTACAGGCGTGAGCCACCGCGCCCAGCTTATTATTATTTTTTTAAGTTGACAAGGTCTTACTCTTGCCCAGGCTGGAGTAAAGTGACATGATCACTGCTCCCTGTGGCCTCAACCTCCCAGGCTCAAGTGATCCTCCTGCCTCAGCCCCTGGAGCAGCTGGGACTGCTCCAGAGGCATGCACAACCATGCTTGGCTAATTTTTTTTATTTTTTATAGATACAGGGTCTCACTATGCCCAGGCTGGTCTTGAACTCCTAGGCTCAAGCAATCTTCTTGCCTCACCCTCCCCAAAATGCTGGGATTATAGGTGTAAGCTACCAAGCCCAACTTGGTCACAAAAATTTTGAGCCCTGAGAGAAAATTTGCATTACAGACTCCCCTCAATTTGCTGTGGGTTTAGGTACTGATAAACTAATTGTAAGTTGAAAATACAGTAAGTGAAAAATGCATTTAATACACCTAATCTGGCTGGGCACCGTGGCTCGTGCCTATAATCCCAGCACTTTGGGCGGCCAAGGCATGTAGATCACCTGAGATCAGGTGTTCAAGACCAGCCTGGCCAACATGGTGAAACCCTGTCTCTACTAAAAATACAAAAGTTAGCTGGGTGTGGTGTCACATGCCTGTAATCCCAGCTACTAGGGAGGCTGAGGCAGGAGAATCCCTTAAACCCAGGAGGCAGAGGTTGCAGTGAACTGAGATTGCACCCCTCCACTCCATCCTGGGTGACAGAGCAAGACTCCCTCTCAAAAAAAAAAAAAAAAAAAAAGACTGTTTTAAAGTCTATAGTCATATATGGTTTTATATTCCCTAAGTCCTTTCATTTTAGGCCCATCCTGATATTTTTAGTGCCTTAATGCTTCCACTGGCTTTGCACGAAGGTAGATGGTTTAGAGAACTCATTCAGCTTAGGCCAGATTTCAGATTTACCTGGCTTCTCATTCTGGTGTTGTATACACCCATGCAACAGCCCTATCCATCTTGGTGTTATTTTATATTTCTATGTTTTATTTCTCAAAATATTTCCCATATAATAATATTTTAAAACCTATTTCTGTTTTATGTATATTTGAATCAATCTTTGTCATGTTTTGAATTTTTTTAATATACCACAAATGTTATCCATGTTTTATAATGCAAGCTTTTTTTCTCTCATAGGATAAGACTTTCAACTGCACTTAAAAAAAACCTGGAGAAAATTAGCACAGAGTCTAGGTATGATTTTTTTTTTCCTCTGGATTCAATAAGGATGGTATCTGCATAGTGACTTATAGTTTTGTGAATTTTTAAAATCATTATTGCCAACTATCTTTATCTGGGGAATAAAAAAAAGTGATGACATTGTTGTAGGCCCTCCCCAGAATTACAGCAACTTTTATAGTACTAATGATATTTTGTTCCATAGGGATTGTAACTGTACGAAGCAGAAGAGTTTATCCAGAAGGTCGGAAAAATTTAAGGAAAGCTTTGAAAGTTCATTTTCTTCAATATTTACTATAAACCAGGAACAGGGCTATTTCATTTAATCCATCAAAACCCAGTGAGATAGGAAGCATACTCCTCAGTTTTTATTGGTAGAAATGAGTTTGTTAGATCAAACAATTTCCCAAGGGATATGATGTAAAGACTAGTAGGTCAGGTCATCTGTATCCTGGTATCTGGCCTCAGAGGTCTTACCTATCATTTTATTTCCCAAAGCTCTTGTGATAATATATCCCCTTCCCTTGAGCACCAGAAAAGTTCCAAGATAGGTCGAGGTACTTTTTTTTTTTTTTTTTGAGACAGAGTCTGCTCTGTCACCCAGGCTGAAGTGCAGCTCACTGCAACCTCCACCTCTCACGTTCAAGCGATTCGCATGCCTCAGCCTCCTGAATAGCTGGGATTACAGGTGCCTGCCACAATGCCCAGGTAATTTTTATGTTTTTAGGAGACAGGGTTTCACCGTTGGCCAGGCTGGTTGCATCTAGGCACTTCTATCTTAAGTGTTTTAGCCCACACTGATACACGTTTTCCCTATATTCCAGCTAAATCCAGATTACATAAATCCAAAAATCTGAATTTGAGCATTCATAATTCTTGCTCTTCCATAAATATTACAGAGGCTCATGCCTGTAATCCCACCACTTTGGGAGCCTAAGGCAGGAGGATAGCTTGAGCCCAGGCATTTGAGATCAGCCTGTGCAACATAGGGAGGCCTCATCTCTACAAAAAAAATTTTTTTTTGTTTCTTTGTTTTTGGTTTCTTTTGTTTTTGAAACGGAATCTTGCTCTGTCGCCCAGGCTAGAGTGCAGTGGCACGATCTCGGCTTGCTGCAACCTCAGCCTCCTGGGTTCAAGCATTTCTCCTGCCTCAGCCTCCTGAGTAGCTAGGATTATAGGTGCCGCCACTACACCTGGCTAATTTTGGTATTTTATTGGTAGAGATGGGGTTTCACTATCTTCACCAGGCTGGTCTTGAACTCCTGACCTTGTGATCCACCCTTCTTGGTCTCCCAAAGTTCTGGGTTTGCATGCGTGAGCCACTGCACCCGACATCTACAAAAATTTTTTTTAAATTAGCCAGGTGAGGCCAGGCACGGTGGCTCACACTTGCAATCCCAGCACTTTGGGAGGCCGAGTTGGGCAGATCATGAGGTCAGGAGTTCGAGACCAGCCTGACCAATATGGTGAAACCCTGTTTCTACTAAAAATATAAAAATTAGCCAGGCATGGTGGCAGGTGCCTGTAATCCCAGCTACTAGGGAGGCTGAGGCAGGAGAATCTCTTGAACCCAGAAGGCAGAGGTTGGGTGAGCTGAGACCGCTCCATTGTACTCGAGCTTGGACGACAGAGCAAGACTTCAGCTCAAATAACTAAATAAATAAATAAGCCAGGCATGGTAGAGCTGTCTGTAGTCCTAGCTACTCCAGAGGTGGAGGCGGGAAGAAGGATCAGCCTCCTGCCTTGATCCTAGGAGGTCATGGGGCTACAGTAAGCTGTGATCTCACCACTGCACCTTAGCCTGGGCAATAGTGAAATCCCATCTCAAAAAAAAAAAAAAAAAAAATACTGTTGAGTTAAAGGTGTGAGGTGCAGGACAACAGGACAGATTTATCATATTGTCACTGAAATGTCAGAGATTTGGTCTAGGCCCTGTTGCTTGCCACATAGAAATGTAATCACTGATGTGAGTATTGTCAGGAAGAAGGCTTTATTTGGGTACTGTAGCCAAGGAGAGGGGAGATCAGTCTCATCTCCTAGATGTACTAAAATTAAGGGGGTGTTTTGTTTTTTTGAGACAGGGCCTTACTCTGTTGTTCAAGCTGAAGTGCAGTGGTGTGATGATGACTCACTACAACCTCGATCTCCCAGGTTCAATCAAGCGATCAGCCTTCCACATAGCTGGGACTACAGGTGTCAACCACCATGCCTGGCTAATTTTTTTATTTTTTGCAGAGATGGGATTTTGCCATGTTGCCCAGGCTGGTCCTGAATTCAAAGTGATCCACCTGCATGTTGGCCTCCCAAAGTGCTGGGATTACAGGCATGAACCACCACACCCTGCCAAATTAAGGGTTTATATAGCAGGGAAGATATGTAACCATGTATGGGAAAACAGGAATTCGGGAGGGTAAGGAAGAGGAGTTAGTCAATAGGAAGCAGGTAGTTGGTGAGACAGTCATGATGGGTGAGGGGTCTGGTGTCTCATTGTTCAGAGGGGGTAATCTTGTAAGTTTCAGTACCTTGATACTGTCTGGGAGGCCTGATGGTTGGTTTCCTGAGAAAGGAATTCAGATAAGATAATTGTAACTTTCTCAAGTTTTAAGACTGGAAGGATCAGTTTTTATATTCATTAAAAAGAAACCATAAACATCAATTCTGTGGGACAATTGGGCCAGTTTCACTGTTGACACCAAAATACAATAAAATAGTAAAATAAAACTTAATAGTACCCAATCAGAATTTTACTTAAATTTGTTTTTGCAAAAGGCCGGGCGCGGTGGCTCAAGCCTGTAATCCCAGCACTTTGGGAGGCCGAGGCGGGTGGATCACAAGGTCAAGAGATCGAGACCATCCCAGTCAACATGGTGAAACCCCGTCTCTACTAAAAATACAAAACATTAGCTGGGCATGGTGGCGCGTGCCTGTAATCCCAGGTACTCAGGAGGCTGAGGCAGGAGAACTGCCTGAACCCAGGAGGCGGAGGTTGCGGTGAGCCGAGATCGCGCTATTGCACTCCAGCCTGGGTAACAAGAGTGAAACTCCGTCTCAAAAAAAAAAAAAAAAAAAAAAAAAAATTTTTTTTTGCTTAATAATAAAATAAAATTTAAGCATACCCAATCAGAAACCGATAACTAGAGATGTTCCACTTTAACCAATCAATTACATTTTCTTATTTTTTTGGAGACAGAGTCTTGCTCTGTTGCCCAGGCTGGAATGCAGTGGCATGATCTCAGCTCACTGTAACCTCTACCTCCCAGGTTCAAGCAATTCTCCTGCCTCAGCCTCCCAAGTAGTTGGGATTACAGGAGTGTGCCACCATGCCCAGCTAATTTTTTTTGTATTTTTAGTAGAGATGGGGTTTCACCATGTTGGCCAGGCTGGTCTCCAACTCCTGACCTCATGATCCACCCACCTCAGCCACCCAAGTGCTGGGATTACAGGCATGAGCCACCACGCCAGGCTCTAACCAACCAATTATATTTTCTTTCTTTCTTTTTTTTTTTTTTTTTAAATAAAGATGGGGTTTCACCATGATGGTCAGGCTGGTCTTGAACTCCTGACCTCAGGTGATCCACCCACCTCAGCCTCCCAAAGTGCTAGGATTACAGGCTTGAGCCACCGGGCCCAGTCAGTTTTCTTTCTTTTTTTTTTTTTTTGGAGACGGAGTTTCGCTCTTGTTACCCAGGCTGGAGTGCAATGGCGCGATCTCGGCTCACCGCAACCTCCTGGGTTCAGGCAATTCTCCTGCCTCAGCCTCCTGAGTAGCTGGGATTACAGGCACGCGCCACCATGCCCAGCTAATTTTTTGTATTTTTAGTAGAGATGGGGTTTCACCATGTTGACCAGGATGGTCTCGATCTCTTGACCTCGTGATCCACCCGCCTCGGCCTCCCATAGTGCTGGGATTACAGGCTTGAGCCACCGCGCCCGGCCAGTTTTCTTTCTTTTATGAACACCTTATAAAAGCTTAATCACTCACCTCCCACAGTGGAGCACTAAACAGCTTACAATCCTGTTCTGCCAGATGCATGAATTGTCTGCTCAAATAAACCTGTTATATTTTAATATGCCTAAGTTTATCTTTTAAGACAACCAAATACAGCTGTAAATCGTAGAAAAATGAATTCAGCTCTCCTAGGTTTGTGCAGATTCCCCTTTGGACCTTCCCAGTTAGTTGCTTCTATAGTGTTTTTCACACCAGGCTGACTATCAGATTAATGTCTATTATAATGATCTCATTGTTGGTTCTATCCCAGACTTTCTGAATGGTCATGTTGTTGGTTCTATCCCAAACTTTCTGAATGCTGAATTAGCATCAGTTATTGGATAGAACCAACAACGTGATCATTATATTTTTCCTCTTCTTCAAAGAGGAAAGAATCTAGTGGAGGAGAAAAATAAATCCACAGTCATACTGTAGTGCAGTAACGAATGTGAACCAGAGTTATGCACAGGGTGGAATAAAGGGGTAAAGTAATTACCTAGATCAAGTAGTTTGGTATGGCTGGAGAATACTTTTATTTTATTTTACATTCCTGGCACGTGGCATAGTTCTTGAGAGCATGTACTAAGTACTCAAAAATATTTGTTGAAGAAATAGAGTTAAAAAGCAGTTTATTCTCTGAAACTATCTGAAAAAAAAAGAAAAAATAAATAAAAATGATACACTAGAATATGCTGAGTGCATAAGCAAAAAAAAAAAAAAAAAAAACTATTCTGTTTGCTGCAATAATGGTGGATACATGTCATTATACATATGTTAAATCTCAGAGAATGGGCGGGTCCTCAGTGGCTCATGTCTATAATCCTAACACTTTGGGAGGCCAAAGAGGGAGGAGTGCTTCAACCCTGGAATTTCATACCAGTCTGGGCAACATAGGGTGACCCCATTTCTACAAAAAAATTTAAAAATTAGTGGGACATGGTAGTGTATACCTATAATCCCAGCTGCTTTGGAGGCTGAGGCAGGACAATTGCTTGAGCCCAGGAGGTTGAGGCTACAGGAAACTGTGATTGTGCCACTGCACTGCAGCCTGGGTGGCAGAGTGAGACCCTGTCACAAAAAAACAAACCCATAGAATATACACAAGCAAGACTGAACCCTGATGTAAAATCCAGACTTTGGGTAACAATGACGTGTCGATACAGGTTTGTTGATTGTAACAAATGTGCCACTTTGGTAGCAGATGTTGATGATGGGAGAGGCTATGCATGTGTCAGGTAGGGTATATATGAGAAATCTCTGTACCTTCCACTCAGTTTTGCTGTGAAAATAAAATTACTCTAAAAAATAAATTCAAAACAAAAGCAGCTTGTTAGGAAGTTATTAGGGTGCTTCCTCTCTAAATATGAAATTTTTAGAAACGTTCCCACATTTTTTTTTTTTTTTTTTTTTTTTGAGACAGAGTTTCACTCTTGTTACCCAGGCTGGAGTGCAATGGCGCGATCTCGGCTCACCGCAACCTCCGCCTCCCGGGTTCAGGCAATTCTCCTGCCTCAGCCTCCTGAGTAGCTGGGATTACAGGCACGCGCCACAATGCCCAGCTAATTTTTTGTATTTTTTTTTTAGTAGAGACGGGGTTTCACCATGTTGACCCGGATGGTCTCGATCTCTTGACCTCGTGATCCACCCACCTCGGCCTCCCAAAGTGCTGGGATTACAGGCTTGAGCCACCGCACCCGGCCAATTTTTTGTATTTTTAGTAGAGACGGGGTTTCACCATGTTGACCAGGATGGTCTCGATCTTTTGACCTCATGATCCACCCGCCTCGGCCTCCCAAAGTGCTGGGATTACAGGCTTGAGCCACCGCGCCCGGCCTATGTTCCCACATTTTTAAATTTGGTATTCTTTTGTCTGTGACCATTTTTCTAGGGAAATGCATCTCTAATTTTCACAGCAATTTATTTTACATCAAACTTTTCCAGATTTATTTTCTTAAACTGACTTTCTATCCAAATGTATGGTGGAGATAATGAAAGTAAGTTTTCACTCATTGATTACTTCATTAATGGCAGTTACTATTTTTAACTAAGGTATAAATAAACTTAATAAATCATCTTTTTGTTTCCTTTTCAGTGTGCTCATGGATAACATGAAACACCTATTAAAGCTAAATAAATTAGTAATGAAATTACAGCAGGTAAACTTACACATTAGGCTGCTTATGCATTCCCATGATTTCACTCTCAACTTCTTGCTGATAACTATTGTGTATGATTAAATAGGATTATCCAAAGGGAATGCTATGATTGGAATTCACTGTCCTTAAGTTCTCTCTTTTTTTCAAAATTCTATTATTTCTGACTAATGTTGAACATTATCTACTTATAATTTAAGCCACTGTCTTCCTTTTGTTGTGTAGAAAAAAAAGAAAACAGGAACTTTAAATAACTAAGGCTAATAGATAAAACTCAGTGATTTAAGTATTACAGGTTTGTCCTTACACATAGTAATGTGCTTTAACTTTTTTATTTTTAATAACAGGAATCTTGGGATTTAGAGGAAAAACTGCTTGATACTAGAAAGAAGAGATTGCGTATGTAGAACACTTTTTTTTTGGCAGAACATATTTTGCTTACTTTATAGATTAATAAGGCCATATTTCTTAGCCACTGAGAAATTTCCTAATTTCTAACTTTCAAATTTCTTAAAATTTTTGATATGGCAGTTTAAAAAGTAGAATGTAAAATACATTTTGCTCTATTTATTCTCATTGTTTTAGAACTTATTTCTTTTTTTTTTTTTTTTTTTCTTGAGACTTGAGCTTCACTCTGTTGCCAGGCTAGAGTGCAGTGGTGCAATCTTAGCTCACTGCAGCCTCTGCCTCTCGGAGTCAAGGGATTTTCCTCCTTCAGCCTCCTGAGTAGCTGGGACTACAGGCGTGTGCCACCAGGCCCAGCTAATTTTTGTATTTTTAGTAGAGATGGGGTTTTACCACGTTGGTCAGGATGGTCTTGATCTCCTGATGTTGTCATCTGCCTACCTCGGCCTCCCAAAGTGCTGGGATTACAGGTGTGAGCCACCACACCTGGCCTGTTTTATTTGTTTGTTTATTTGTTTTTTGAGAGTCTTGCTCTGTCACCCAGGTGGAGTGCAATCTTGCTCTGTCACCCAGGTGGAGTGCAGTGGTGTGCTATCTCAGCTCACTACAACCTCCACCTCCCTGGTTCGAGTGATTCTTACGTCTTAGCCTCCTGAGTAGCTGGAGGCTACAGACATCCACCATCACACCCAACTAATTTTTGTATTTTTATTTTTAAAAAACATTTTTAATTTTTTTTTTTTTGAGACAGAGTCTCACTCTGTCACCCAGGCTGGAGTGCACTGGCATGATCTTGCTCACTGCAACTTCCACCTCCCAGGTTCAAGTGATTCTCATGCCTCAACCTCCAGAGTAGCTGAGATTACAGGCGTGAGCCACCATACCTGGCTAGTTTTTATTTTTTTTTAGTAGAGATGGGGTTTCACTATGTTGGCCAGGCTGGTCTTGAACTCCTGACCTCAGATAATCCACCACCCTCGGCCTCCCAAAGTGCTGGGATTACAGGCGTGAGCCACCACTCCATGCCTCATTGTTTTAGAACTTTAAATCACAAAATTAATCCATTCTCAGCAGGGGAAAAATAAAATGATATGTAATGAAAAAGTCATGCGTCTTTTCTACATGGTGACAGTTTGGTATTTATCATTCTAGACTTTTCCATGTCCATGTAAACATTTATATATACATAATTTCTAAATGATCAAAGGATATGTATGGATCTACAGCCTTTTCACTTAATTTATCATGACATGAGATGATTTTTTGCACTGAAACAATTGAAATGTTTATTTCAAAAGCAATACATACTCTAGAAAATTTGGAAACAAAAGTATACTTTGGAAAAGTTAAATTTTTAAATTTTACATCAGTAGATAATCAGTCTTCAGGCTTTTCTCTTTTTCTTTTCTTTTTTGGTGAGAAAGGATCTTGCTCTGTCACCCAAGCTGGAGTACAATGGCATGATCACAGTTCATTGCAGCTTCAAACTCCTGGGCTCAGCCTACCAAGTAGCTGGGAATACAAGTGCAGTCCACCATGCCCAGCTAACTTTTGTGGTTTTTTTGGCATAGAATCTCCCTGTGTTACTCGGGTTTATCTTGAACTTCTGCCCTAAATGAACCTCCTGCCTTGGCCTCCCAAAGTACTAGGATTACAGGCATGAGCTACTGCACTTGGCCAGTATTTCTTTTTTTTTTTTTTTTTTTTTTTTTGAAACAGTGTTACTCTGTTGCCCAGGCTGGAGTCCAGTGGTACATTCTTGGCTCACTGCAACCTCCATCTCCTGGGTTCAAGCCATTCTTCTACGCTGGCCTTCCAAGTAGCTGGGATTACAAGTGCACCACCACCATGCCTGGCTAATTTTTGTATTTTTAGTAGAGACAGAGTTTCACCACATTGGCCAGGCTGGTCTCAAACTCCTCACCTCGGGTGATCTGCCCGCCTCAGCCTTCCAAAGTGCTGGGATTATAGGCATGAGCCACTGCACCCTGCCTCCTTGTTTTTTGAGACTGGGTCTTATTCTCTTGCTCAGGCTGGAGTGCAGTGGCATGCTAATAGCTCACTACAGCCTTACAACCCCTCCTGGGCTCAAGCTATCTTTCCACTTCAGCATCCCTAGTAGTTGGGACTACAGGCGCATGCCACCACACCTGGCTAATTGTTTTCTTATGTAGATTTATTATTTTTTTCTGTAGAGATGGGGTTTTACCATGTTGCCCAGGCCGGTATAGCACTCCTGGGCTCAGGTGATCCACCCACCTTGGCCTCCCAAAGTGGTGGGATTACAGATGTGAGCCACTCTGCCCAACCAGATTTGTTTTTTTGAGACAAGTTTTCACTCTTGTTGCCCATACTGCAGTGCAATGGGGCAATTTTCTGCCCACCACCTCTGCCTCCCGTGTTCAAGTGATTTTCCTGCCTCAGCCTCCTGAGTAGCTGGGATTACAGGCATGCACCATGACACCAGGCTAATTTTGTCTTTTTAGTAGAGACTGGGTTTCTCCATGTTGGTCAGGCTGGACTCGAACTCCAGACCTTAGGTGATCCGCCTGCCTCAGCCTCCCAGAGTGCTGGGATTACAGGCTTGAGCCACCGCGCCCGGCCTTGTTTTTCTTTTAAGACGGAGTTTCTCTCTTGTCACCCAGGCTGGAGTGCAGTGGTGCGATTTCGGCTCACTGCAACCTCCACCTCCCAGGTTCAAGTAATTCTCATACCTCAGCCTCCTGAGTAGCTGAGATTATAGGTGCCCATCACCATGCCCAGCCAATTTTTATATTTTTAGTAGAGATGGGGTTGCACAATGTTGGCCAGATTGGTTTCCAGCTCCTGACCTCAGGTGATCCACCCACCTTAAGACTCCCAACGTGCTGGGATTACAGGCATGAGCCACCACACCCAGCCCAAATCTGTTTTTTTCAAATATTATGTAGATTTGCCTGTTAGCAAATAATCTCAGAGTCAGTAATAGTATTGGGCATCTTGTCTAATCCCCCAGCATTTTTTTTTTTTTTTTTTTTAAGTAGAATCAGGGTCTTGTCCAAGCTAGTCTTGAACTTCTGGATTTAAGTGATCCTCCTGCCTTCCAAAGTGTTGGGATTATAAAAATGAGCCACCCATGCCGGGCGCGGTGGCTCAAGCCTGTAATCCCAGCACTTTGGGAGGCCGAGGCGGGTGGATCACGAGGTCGAGAGATGAAGACCATCCTGGTCAACATGGTGAAACCCCGTCTCTACTAAAAATACAAAAAATTAGCTGGGCATGGTGGCGCGTGCCTGTAATCCCAGCTACTCAGGAGGCTGAGGCAGGAGAATTGCCTGAACCCAGGAGGCGGAGGTTGCGGTGAGCCGAGATCGCGCCATTGCACTCCAGCCTGGGTAACAAGAGCAAAAAACTCTGTCTCAAAAAAAAAAAAAAAAAAAAATGAGCCACCCGTGCTTGGGCTATACTTTTTTGATGTTTCATTTTCTCCATTGTATTCCAGCCTTCTTGAATACATTGATGTTGAAGAACAGGCCCCTGAAATACATATATTTATATTTTCAAGTAGTTTAATTCTTAGACTATTTCCAGAAATACAAAAATGGGTGATGATGTTTCTCCCTGGAGAGGGGAATCTTAGTTTTCTTTTCTTTTTTTTCCTGAGATGGGAGTTTCACTTTTGACTTTTGTTGCCCAGGCTGGAGTGCAATGGTGTGATCTCGGCTAACTGTAACCTCCGCCTCCTGCCGGAGTGATTCTCCTGCCTCAGCCTCCCAAGTAGCTGGTATTACAGATGCCCACCACCACTCCCAGCTACTTTTTGTATTTTTAGTAGAGATGGGGTTTCACCATGTTGGCCAGGCTGTTCTCAAACTCCTGACTTAAGGTGATCTGTCCGCCTTGGCCTCCCAAAGTGCTGGGATTACAGGTGTGAGCCACCATACCTGGCCAAAAATATTTCTTTATATATATTTCCTACCTAGTTTGGCAACCCAGAATAAGCACTCATTACATGATGCCACTTGAAACATCTGTAGATAGCTGTTGTTGTCATACATAAATACCTGGAATATGTCACTAAGGGCATTGCTAAATACAAAATTAAAATATTGTTATTTTGCATCAGGGAAGTTGTTTTTGGATCAGAATAAAATTGCAACCTAAATTGCTGCTTAGTAAAATTTTTCTCTTGACTAAAATAACCAGGAAGTGATCTGCTTCATGATTTTTCAAGATCCTTGTTTGTAGAGGTATCATATATGGTATATTATTTTATTTTTTACCTAACAGAATTAAAACAAGCTTCAGAAAGTAAGCTTTTAGAAATACAGTCTGAAAAGAACAAACAGAAGATTGATTTGAACTGTATGGAAAACTCAGAGAGTATAAAGATCATACGACAAAACCTACAGATGGAGATAAAAATTACTACAGTTATTCAACATGTGTTCCAGGTAACATTTATATAAACTAATAAGGAAGGTAAATAACTTTTTTTTTTTTTTTGAGATGGAGTTTCACTTTTGTCACCCAGGCTGCAGTGAAACGGCACGTTCTCAGCTCACTGCAACCTCTGCCTCCCAAGTTCAAGCAATTCTCCTGTCTCAACCTCCCAAGTAGCTGGGATTGTAGGTACCCTTTACCAGGCCCAGCTAATTTTAGTATTTTTTGTAGAGACAGGGTTTCACCATGTTGGCCAGGCTGGTCTCAAACTCCTCACCTCAAGTGACCCGCCCCCCTTAGCCTTCCAAGGTGCTGGGATTACAGGTGTGTGCCACCATACCTGGCCAACTTTTTGATGATGCTATTATACAATACTGACTTAACTTTCAGCTAGTTTTTGATCCTGATGAAATAATTCAGTGTTTAATTTTGGTCTATTTACATATATCTGGAATTTGTATATACTTAATGTTTACGGTCTTGATTTGTTTTTTCTTTTTTCAGACAGTGTTACTCTGTAGCCCAAGGCTGGAATGCAGTGGCATGATCTCAGCTCACTGCAACCTCCGTCTCCTGGGTTCAAGCAATTCTCCTGCCTCAGCCTCCTGAGCAGCTGGGATTATCCTGCCACCACATCTGGCTAATTTTTGAGACCAGCCTGGCAACACAGTGAAACTCTGTCTCTACTAAAATACAAAAATACAGCTAGTTTTGATACTAATGAAATAATTCAATGTTTAATTTTGGTCTGTTTACATATATATGGAATTTGTATATTGCTAATGTTTAAGGTCTTGATTTTTTTTCTTTTTTCAGACAGAGTCTTACTCTGTAGCCCAGGCTGGAGTTTTGCCACGTTGGCCAGACTGGTCTCGAACTTGTGACCTCAGGTGATGCACCCGGCTCGGCTTCCCAAACTGCCAGGATTACAGAGTTGAGCCACTACACCCAGCACACTCCAAGTATTTTTTTTTTTTGAGACGGAGTTTCGCTCTTGTTACCCAGGCTGGAGTGCAATGGCGCGATCTCGGCTCACCGCAACCTCTGCCTCCTGGGTTCAGGCAATTCTCCTGTCTCAGCCTTCTGAGTAGCTGGGATTATAGGCGTGCACCATCATGCCCAGCTAATTTTTTGTATTTTTAGTAGAGGCGGGGTTTCACCATGTTGACCAGGATGGTCTCGATCTCTTGACCTCGTGATCCACCCGCCTTGGCCTCCCAAAGTGCTGGGATTACAAGCTTGAGCCACCGCGCCCGGCCCACTCCAAGTATTTTTAACAAGTAAAACCTATTCATAGAAACTGATGAGGCAGTTATAAATAATAAAAAAGAATTATTTTTTTCTTCAGAGAATAAAGTGAGAGCATAAAAAATATTGTAAGCATTGTAAATATTCCCTAACATGGAGATCAAGGCTAAACCCATGCTAAAAGTGGAAGTGAAAATAGAAGAATATGGCTGGGTGAGGTGGCTCACGGCTGTAATCCCAGCACTTTGGTAGGCCGAGGTGGGCAAATCATGAGGTCAGGAGATCAAGAGCAGCCTGGCCAAGAGACCAGCCTGGCCGATATGGTGAAATCCCGTCTACTAAAAATACAAAAATCAGCTGAGTGTGATGGCAGGTGCCTGTTATCCCAGCTACTCAGGAGGCTGAAACAGGGTGCTTGAACCCAGGAGGCGGAGGTTGCAGTAAGCTGAAGATATGCCATTGCACTTTATCCTGGGTGACAGAGCAAGACTCTGACTCAAAAAAAAAGAAAATAGAAGAACGTATTACTGTTTTTTTCTTATGATCACAAAGCTACACACCTAATAAATGTTAATTATTTGATAAGATTAGTGAAAATTATATTTTAAATCTTGTTAAATTTTTAAAGTACTTATAACTTTTAAAACTTTTTTTTTTTTTTTTTTACAGAACCTTATTTTGGGGAGTAAAGTCAATTGGGCAGAGGATTCTGCCCTTAAGGAAATTGTTCTGCAGCTTGAAAAGAACGTCGACATGATGTAATAAGAATTCATTTCTGACATAGTTTACATTTCTGGCAGTCCCAACTTTTATTTGGAATATTTTTATGCATTTGTTTGTCAACTGTAATTTTAGAATATCCATAGTATTTGCAGTTGTGGTTAGTTATTTGCAGTGGGATTGAAAAAAGTGACTTTTTAAAATATATATATCTATATTTAGTTTGCTTTTTTTTTTTTTTTTTGAGACAGAGTCTGGCTCCACTGCCCAGACTAGAGTGCAGTGGTGCGATCTTGGCTCACTGCTACCTCTGCCTCCCAGGTTCAAGCAATTCTCCTGCCTCAGCCTCCTGAGTAACTGGGACTAAAGGTGCACACTGCCACACCCAGCTAATTTTTTGTATTTTAGTAGAGATGGGGTTTCACTGTGTTGCCAGGCTGGTCTCAAACTTCCTGAACTCAGGCATTCCACTGCCTTGGTCTCCCAAAGTAGTAGGATTACAGGCATGAGCCACCGCACCTGGCCTAGTTTGCATTTTTGGTATCAGTTATATAAGTTAAGAAATAAAAGGAATTGATGTTACTCTTTAAAAAAAAAAAAAAAAAAAAATTCATGCCCTTTCCAAACAGCAGTACTCTATCTTAGTAATTATAAAATAGAACTTACCACTTTTTATAGCATCACAGTCCATTTTTGAAAAACTCTAATTTGAGCACTTAATTTGTAGCTGTTGAGCATTTTTACAGCTAATGTATTTTCAACATCCTTTGTTTGTTTGTTTCCTTGAGACAGAGTCTCACTCTTTCACCCAGGCTGGAATGCAGTGGTGTGATTTCAGCCCACTGCAACCTCTGTCTCCCGGGTTCAAGCAATTCTCATGGCTCAGCCTCCTGAGTAGCTGAGATTACAGGTGTGGGCCACCATGCCCATCTAATTTTTTGTATTTTTAGTTGAGACGGAGGTTTCACAATGTTGGTCTGGCTGGTCTCGAACTCCTGACCTCAAATTATCTGCCCACTTTGGCTTCCCAGACTTCTGGTATTACAAGCATGAGCCACTGCACCTGGCCTCAACATTCTTTTTAGAAGGACTTTAAACCTAAAATGATGGTAGCTTTTTTTTTTTTTTTTCTTTTTGAGATGGAGTCTGGCCCTTTTGCCCAGGCTAGAGTGCAGTGTGGCATGATCTCAGCTCACTGCAACCTCTGCCTCCCAGGTTCAAGGGATTCTTCTACCTCAGCCTCCCTAGTATCTGGGACCACAGGCATGTGGTACAACACCTGGCTATTGAGTTTTTGGTAGAGATGGGATTTTGCCATGTTGCCCAGGCTGGTCTCAAAACTCCTGAGCTCAAGCAATCCACCCACCTTGGCCTCCCAAAGTGCTGAGCCACTGCACCTGGCCAAGTGCCTGCTTAAAGATCGATTCTGAGGAGAACTTGTATTAACTTTTCCTGAAATCATATTGAATAATAACCCCAAATCTCAGTGGCTTATAACAAGACATTTCTGTTTTGGGTCTGTGCTTCAGCTGATAATTCTAGGACTCAGACTGAGGGAACAGCCACAATCTGAAACATTCTCATGCCATAGGGCCGGAGCTTATGAAGCCAATTTCAATTATACCAGTAGGATTAAAGCTTCTGCTTGAAAGAGGTGGACACTGACAAAATCTGATATCATTGCGGCAGGAAAGTATACTTCTCCCATGGCAGGGGAGTGCTGGGTTTCAGAGTTGGAGAAATAAAACAGGTATTTACTGAAATAATACAATCTATTAGGCCGGGTGTGGTGGCTCATGCCTATAATCCCAGCACTTTGGGAGGATGAGGCAGGCGGATCACGAGGTCAAGAGATCAAGACCATCCTGGCCAACATGGTGAAATACTGTCTCTACTAAAAATACAAAAAATTAGCCGGTGTGGTGGTGCGTGCCTGTAGTCCCAGCTACTCAGGAGGCTGAGGCAGGAGAATTGCTTGATACCAGAAAACGGAAGTTGCAGTGAGCAGGGACCACACCACTGTACTCCAGCCTGGCGATAGAGCAAGACTCCATCTCAAAAAAAATATATATATATACAGTCTATTAAGCTCAGCTATCTTGGTCATAAATATTAACTTCCTTTCTGCATTCTGCATGCAAAAGACACTTCCCAACGAAGATATGAGATAATGCTAATAGTGTCATCCAATTGTTAGTTTTTTTTCAAAGTTCAGTCTTTCATATCAGGTCCAGATGTAGCCCTTCATCTAGAGACTTATGAACTGAAAAGACATTATATCAACTAGCATATCTAGCAAACAACAGTGGAATAGGTCTGCAGTCTGTAGCAATTTATTTATTTATTTTTTTAGTAGAGACAGGGTCTCACTTTGTTGCCCTGGCTGGTCTCAAATTCCTGGGCTAAAGCTGTCTACCCACCTCAGCCTCCTGTGGTGCTGAAATTATAGGTGTGAGCCACCACACCCAGCCAAAATCTTAAGTATTACTTGCCAAATGATAGGAGATTCCCCTTCCTAGGGGTAGGGAATGACGTTGATGAGGCTCTTGTGTTGCTTCCTGGAAGCACTTCATCCAGGTTCTTCACTCTGCCTGTGGAAAGGGTCTACCTTTTTCATTATCAATGTCAGCCATATCTCTGAGGACGGCATTAGAGAGTATGTCCTTCTGAGCAGCTTTCTCAAGTTGGGGACACAGATGTTTTTACATCTACAACAGTTTTTGTTTTTGTTTTTGTTTTTGAGATGGAGTCTGGCTCTGTTGCTTAGGCTGGAGTGCAGTGGTACCATCTCAGCTCACTGCAACCTCCACATCCCAGGTTCAAGGGATTGTCCTGCCTCAGCCTGCTGAGTAGCTAGGACTACAGGTGCATATCACCATGCCTGGCTAATTTTTTTGTATTTTTAATAGACACAGGGTTTCACCATGTTGGCCAGGCTGGTCTCAAACTACTGATCTCGAGTGATCCACCTGCCCTGGCCTCCCAAAGTGCTGAGATTCCACTGCACCCAGCCGTGGTGAGATATATTTTCTATTTATTATTATTATTATTATTATTTTTTTTTTTTTTTTTTGAGACGGAGTTTCGCTCTTGTTACCCAGGCTGGAGTGCAATGGCGCGATCTCGGCTCACCGCAACCTCCGCCTCCTGGGTTCAGGCAATTCTCCTGCCTCAGCCTCCTGAGTAGCTGGGATTACAGGCACGCACCACCATGCCCAGCTAATTTTTTGTATTTTTAGTAGAGACGGGGTTTCACCATGTTGACCAGGATGGTCTCGATCTCTTGACCTCGTGATCCGCCCGCCTCAGCCTCCCAAAGTGCTGGGATTATAGGCTTGAGCCACCGCGCCCGGCTTATTATTATTTTTTTATATGGAGTAGATATATTTTCTAAGGCCAGGAAACCCGCCTATGGATTATGTTCTACAAAAAGGACAGAAGAACCAAACTGATGACACCATATCACTAAAAAACTCAATGATCAGGGCATGGTGATGCATGCCTGTAGTTCCAGCTGCTCAGGAGGCTGGGGCTATTTGAACCAGGGAGTTTGAGGCTGCAATGAGCTATAATGGTGTCAATGTACTCCAGCCTAGGTTCCAGAGTGAGACCATCTCAAAAAACCAAAAACATAAAACCCTCAGTGGTAGTTCTCTGCTGTCTAAGGCTAACAAAGACTGTTAGAGAGCTGTATGGGCAGGGCCACCCCTGAGACTCTAGACCTGAAAAGCCACCAACACACAATACCTGCCTGAGAGAGCCCAGGCACCTCTCTTCAACTTCTGAGAGCTGCTGGGTTGGCGATGCCCAGCAAAACCATGGAATAGGGCTGCCTGGGGCTTTGGGGTCCAACCCCTATCCCAATGCATCCAGAAGGCAAGATACTGAGTTAAGAGCCAGTGTTTGCTTTGTTGGATGTTTTACTTGGGACCTATTACTCCTTTCTTCTTGCCTATTTATCACTTTTGGAATGAGAATGTGAATCCTATTCCTGGCCCATCATTGTGTTTTGGAAGTACAATATGCATTTGATTTCACAGGCTCACAGCTGGGGAAGAATTTGCCTCAGGATGAATCATGCCTCTGATCTGTCTGCCTCAGCCTTCCAAAGTGCTGGGATTACAGGTGTGAGCAACTGCACCTGAAAAATGTATTTTGCATGTGAGAAGGACATAAATTATGGAGTCCAAGGGCAGTAAGCGATAGTCTGAATGTAAGCGATAGTCTGAATGTGTCCTTGAAAATTTATCTGTTGAAAATTGCCAGTATGACAATGCTAAGAGGTAGGGCCTCCAGGAAATGATTAAATCATGAGTACAGAGCCGTCATGGATGAGATTAAGGCCCTTAAAAAAAGGTTTGAGGAGGCCGGGCACGGTGGCTCAAGCCTGTAATCCCAGCACTTTGGGAGGCCGAGGCGGGTGGATCACGAGGTCGAGAGATCGAGACCATCCTGGTCAACATGGTGAAACCCCGTCTCTACTAAAAATACAAAAAATTAGCTGGGCATGGTGGCCCATGCCTGTAATCCCAGCTACTCAGGAGGCTGAGGCAGGAGAATTGCTTGAACCCAGGAGGCGGAGGTTGTGGTGAGCCGAGATTGCGCCATTGCACTCCAGCCTGGGTAACAAGAGCAAAACTCCGTCTCAAAAAAAAAAAAAAAAAAAAAAAAAAAGGAGGTTTGAGAGCCAGGCATGATGGCTCACACCTGTAATCTCAGCACTTTGGGAAGCCAAAGCAGGCAGATCACCTGAGGTCAGGAGTTCAAAACCAACCTGGCCAACATGGCAAAACCCCACCTCTATTAAAAATATAAAAATTAGCCAGGTGTGGTCGTGGGCACCTATAATCCCAGTTACTCTGGAGGCTAAGGCAGGAGAATCACTTGAATACAGGAGGCAGAGGTTGCAGTGAGCTGAGTTCGCAACACTGCACTCCAGCCTGGTGTCACAGCAAGACTCCGTCTCAAAAAACAAGGGGAGGGGGTTATGGACAGATCAGAATAGACCACATTTGGTTCAGTAATTTATATTTCTTTTCTTTTTTGAGATGGAGTCTTGCTCTGTCACCAGGCACCAGTCTGGAGTGCAGTGGCACAATCTCGGCTCACTGCAATTTCCACCTTTTGGGTTCAAGCAATTCTCCTGCCTCAGCCTCCCGAGTAGCTGGGACTACAGGTGCACGCCACCATGCCTAGCTAATTTTTTTGCATTTTTTAGTAGAGTTAGGATTTCACCATGTTGGCCAGGATGGTCTCGATCTCTTGACCTTGTGATCTGCCCGCCTCAGCTTCCCAAAGTGCTGGGATTTTTTTTTTTAAGATGGGGTTTCACCATGTTGGTCAGGCTGGTCTCGAACTCCTGACCTCAGGTAATCCACCCACCTCAGCCTCCCAAAGTGCTGGGATTACAGGCGTGAGCCACCACACCTGGCCAGTAATTTATATTTCTAAAAAGCTGGCCGGACGCAGTGGCTCAAGCCTATAATCCCAGCACTTTGGGAGGCCGAGGTGGGTGGATCACGAGGTCAAGAGATCGAGACCATCCTGGTCAACATGGTGAAACCCCGTCTCTACTAAAAATACAAAAAAAAATTAGCTGGGCATGGTGGCACGTGCCTGTAATCCTAGCTACTCAGGAGGCTGAGGCAGAAGAATTGCCTCAACCCAGGAGGCGGAGGTTGCCGTGAGCCGAGATTGCGCCATTGCACTCCAGCCTGGGTAACAAGAGCGAAACTCCGTCTCGAAAAAAAAAAAAAAAAGCTCCCAAGACTTAAAAATCACTGATGTATATCATCAAAAATATTGATCAAGCTTACAATACTATATATAACATAAGCATTATTTATCACAGAATGTAATGTAACTTTTTGTGTTTTTTGAGATGGAGCCTCCTCTGTTTCCCAGGCTGGAATGCAGTGGCTTGATCTTGGCTTACTGCAAACTCTGCCTTCCAGGTTCAAGTGATTCTGCCTCAGCCTCCCAAGTAGCTGGGACTACAAGTGCCTGCCACAATGCCCGGCTAATTATTGTATTTTTAGTAGAGATGGGGTTTCACCATGTTGGCCAGTCTGGTCAGGAACTCCTGACCTCTGGTGATCTGCCTGCCTCGGCCTCGCAAAGTGCTGGGATTACAGGCATGAGCCATAACGTCCTGCCTGTAATGTAACTTTTGGGGAAAGATATGACTGGCTTACATCTCAAATATTTCTGAATTTTTGAGTTCTCTCATACTTAAAGCAAAGGCCCAGCACTTCAATATCAGGAGTTATGAACAGAAACAGAAACAAATTGAAATCAAGCAATGCCAATCAGCAAGAGACTGTGACGTGGCCCTTATTAAGCCAGGGTAAACTTGTGAGCTTGCCGCTAACTCCCGTTTTAACATAATTACTCATTTTAGGAAGCTGCAAGATTTTTGTTTTTGTTTTTCTTTAATTTCTATCTTTGCAAGAGCTGTCACATCAGAAGCTTGTATTATTTATTTGGTTTCAGATACAATTTTGAACTATATCGAAATTATAAACTGGCTTTCTGGAAAAAAAAAAAAATGGTCCTAGACAATGTGCTAATGAGCACAACAGACCCAGCTTCACAAAACTTCGTCCCCAAAACGAAACAACAGAAAACACGTGGGTCGATCCCAGGCGGGAGGAGGAACGGGCGGGGTGAGACGCAGGGGGCGGGGCCAACCCCAAGGCGGAGAAGGGCGCAGCCCGGGCTCCTCCTCCGTGACGTCCCGGGAAGCACCGCCCCCAGCTCCCTGGGACTCCGGTGATAACCGCGGTTAGCTCGCGCCCCGGAAACTGCCCCTTCTCGGGGGTCATGATGGGCAGCAAGATGGCGTCTGCCAGTAGAGTCGTTCAGGTAAAGCGATTTGTCGCGTTTCCGCACCTTGGGCGGTAGGGACTGTGCTGACTATAGCTACAGCGTCCAGGAGGAAAAGCGGTGGAAGAGGCTGCGCCGTGGCCGCGGCTCTGCGGAGGGCCAGCAGCGGCGCCCGCGGGTGTGTGTGAGGATGGGACTTTGAGCCCGTTGGGCCGGGTAGTGGGGTGGGTCCGGCGCCGAGGTTTCGAGCCTGGCGGCAGGCGTGCAATAACTTGGCAGGTAAGTCCTGTACCTACTGCTGGGGTCCCCGGCTCCTCCGCCAGGACCTCCGTAGTCAGGCATCTGCGGTTGAGGCGGCTCTGGCGGTAACCTGGCCAATCGCCGTCTAGGATTGGCTGTGGTGCCCCCTCCCCCTCCCCGATCAGCCAATCGGAAGGAAGGCGATAGCGGGGCGTAGAAGGAAGCGTACCCTGGATCTGACCCAGTCAGTGTCCCTTCAAGGTCTCGGGAATGGTCGGACAACTGGCCCCGTGTGCCGCGTCCTCGCCGAGGCGGGTTCTCTCTCTAGGCTTCTTGCTACAGGGCAGATAAGGGGAATAGAAAAATGTTATTTAAGCTTAATTAGTGTGTGTTGGTTTCACAAGCCTATTTTCCCTTGGTTTAGATAGGCAACTCAAGGAATTTTGTTAATCCACCTGTCAACTACTAATTCCTGTTGACCTTTTTGTTTCTCCAGTTGTGGTTTTAACTTAGGTAAAATTGTCATATAAGTGGAACACAACCGCCATTTTTGTGGTTGGTTTACATAGTCTTTGAACCTTGAAAGTGTATTATTTTAGAATTGAGTTTTAGCTTTGATATGAGAAGTACATTTCGCTTTACATAAATGCATTTGTTAAAAGACCTTTTTCTAAATTACCGAAGTTGTTGTCTGAATGATAATCCTAGATCCCAGTCTTTCATCCCATTGCAATGAATGATCCTCACCTATTCAGTGGGTGGTTATTGAGCATCAACTAGTTAAAGATTCTGTAAGGACTGAGAGACTACCTGACAAAGGTCTGTTATCTATAATATATAACCATATGTATCAATAATACATAACAATTTAAAAATGGGTTAAAGGGCCGGGTGCGGTAGCTCATGCCTGTCATCCCAGCACTTTGGGAGGCCGAGGTGGGCAGATCACGAGGTCAGGAGATCGAGACCATCCTAGCTAACATGGTGAAATTCCGTCTCTACTAAAAATGCAGGAACTTAGCCGGGCTTGGTGGCACGTGCCTGTAGTCCCAGCTACTTGGAAGGCTGAGATAGGAGAATCACTTGAACCTGGGAGTTGGAGGTTGCAGTGAGCTGAAATGACACCACTGCACTCCAGCCTGGGTGACAGAAAGACTCCATCTCAAAAAAAAAAAAAAAAAAAATGGATAAAAGACTTGGTGTTGCACAAAAGATACCCAAATGAGCAATGAATATTTTAAAAAGTGCTCAATATCATTATTTGCCAGGAAAATAAAAACACGAGGTCCTACACATCTAGCAAAATGACTTAAAATTTAGACATCAGTGGTGATGAGAATGTGAAGCTCCTGAAACCCTCAATATTGCTGGTGGGAGTATAAAATGTTATAAACACTTTGGAAAACTGTCAGTCTCTAATAGTTAAACATGTATCTATCATATGACTCAGCAATTCTACTCATGGGTTTATTGCCCAAGAGAAGTGAATGCCCATACTGTCTCTGTACCTAAATGTTTCATAGAAAAAAAAAGTTACTAGCAGAGTTACTAGATGCCAGGAGTGTGGCATCTCAGCAGGTAGGTATTGTACATACTGCCCTGGGGCCCCTGCTAGCCCCCAACCAGAAACAATCCATATGTCCATCTTTTTTTTTTTTTTTTTTTTTGAGACGGAGTTTCGCTCTTGTTACCCAGGCTGGAGTGCAATGGCGTGATCTCGGCTCACCGCAACCTCCACCTCCTGGGTTCAAGCAATTCTCCTGCCTCAGCCTCCTGAGTAGCTGGGATTACAGGCACGTGCCACCATGCCCAGCTAATTTTTTGTATCTTTAGTAGAGACGGGGTTTCACCATGTTGACCAGGATGGTCTTGATCTCTCGACCTTGTGATCCACCTGCCTCAGCCTCTCAAAGTGCTGGGATTACAGGCTTGAGCCACCGTGCCCGGCCCATATGTCCATCTTTTGCATAAACAAATTCTGGTAGTTTTGTTAAAATGGTAGAGTCCAAAGCAGTACTAACTCAAAGCTAATACACGCAAACAAATGAAGAAACTGCGAGATACTCAGTAAGGAATGGTCTGTGCCCTTCTAACATAGGAACAAAGATCTGTACTCACATATGTAGAATTCAAACTAGGTTCCTGACTGCCCTCTAAAAAAAGAAAAAGAATACAAACCAGTATGTGCTAATATTATGTAAAAATTACATAAAACATTAGCAAAATTTATTATCTCTGTGACAGGCCTATAAAAGCTAGGACTACAGTGCCAACAAGAAATAGAGTTTAGGCCAGGCTCACTGGCTTATGCCTGTAACCCCAACACTTTGGCACCTTGAGGCAAGAGGATGGCTTGAGTCCATGCGTTCAAGACCAGCCTGGGCAACATAACAAGACTCCACCTCTATAAAAATTTTTAAAACTTAGTTGAGCATGATGACGTGCACCTGTGGTCCCAGCTACTCAGAGGCTGAGGTAGGAAGATCACTTGAGCCCAGGTGATCAAGGCTACAGTGAGCCGTAATCATGCCATTGCATTCCAGCCTAGACAGTAGAGCTAGACTCTGACTCAAAAAAAAAAAAAAAAAAAAGACAGAGCTTAGAATTCAGCTGTTGATCCATATCTTGAAGAGTACCAAAAGACTGATTGGCACAAACTGATAGGAAGTCACAAAACATGGTCTCAGAACAGTAAGTAAAGACAAAGCAGGCTGGGTGTGGTGGCTCACACCTGTAAGCCCAACATTTTGAGAAGTCAAGGTGGGAAGATTGCTTGAGCCAGGAGTTCAAGATCAGCCTATGCAACATTCCAAGACCCCATCTCTATAAAAATTAACCAGGCAGGAGTGGTGGTGTGTGGTGTGTACCTGTAGTCCTAGCTACTCAGGAGGCTGAGGCGGAAAGATCACTTGAGCCCAGGTGTCTGACACTGCAGTGAACCATGATTACTCTACTGCACCCCAGCCTGTGTAACAGAGCAAAACCTGGTCTCAAAAAATAATAAAACACATTTTCAAACTGGCTACCAAATGGAAATCCAGTGCTTAGCTATTTATAAGAGGTATAGCTAAAACCAAGATTTGGAAAGGTAAAAATAAAGAGATAGTCAACTGATCTTTGACAAAAGGAGTAAAGGGAATACAATGGAGAAAAGACAGTCTTTTTCAATGTGGTGCTGAAAAAAATTGGATATCCATCTAGACAGACCTCACATCCTTCACAAAAATTAACTCAAAATGGATCACAGACCTAAATGCAAAATGCAAAACTATAAAATCCTTAGAAGATAACATGGGAGAAAATAAAAATAACCTTAGGTTTAACAATGACTTTTTAGATATATAACACCAAAGGCATTATCCATGAAAAATTAATTGATAAGCACGACTTCATTAAAATAAAAAACTTCTGCTCTGTGAGACACTGTCAAAAAAAAGGCAAGCCACATACGGGGAGAAAATACTTCCAAAAGATATATCTGATAAAAGACTTGCAGAAAACAGAACTTGTAAATAAGAAAATAAATGACTGAATTTTAAAATGGGCAAAACAGCTGAACAGACAGCTCATCAAATAAGATACACAAACTTTGGGAGGCTGAGGTGGGTGGATCACTTTATCCCAGGAGTTCAAGGCCAGCCTGGGCAACATGGTGAAACCCTGTCTCTACAGAGAATACAAAAGTTAACTGAGTGTGGTGGCGCACACCTATAGTCCCAACTACTTGGGAGGCTGAAGTGGGAGGATTGCTTTAAGTGGGAGCATCACTTGAGCCTGGGAGGTCGAGGTTGCAGTGAGCTGAGACCAAACCACTGCACCCTAGCCTGGGCAACAGAGTGTAACCCTGTCTCAAAAAGAAAAAAAAAGATATACAGATGACAAATAGGTCTATGAAAAGATACTCAGCTGAGCATGGTGGCTCACGCCTGTAATCCCAACACTTTGGGAAGCCAAGGCAAGTGGATCACCTGAGGTCAGGAGTTCGAGACCAGCCTGGCCAATATGGTGAAACCCTGTCTCTACTAAAAGTACAAAAACTAGCCAGGTGTGGTGGTATGCACCTGTAATCCCAGCTACTTGGGAGGCTGAGTCAAGAGAATCACTTGAATCTGCGAGGCAGAGGTTGTAGTGAGCCAAGATCATGCCATTGTACTCCAGCCCAGGCAACAGAGACTCCGTCTCAAAAAAAAAAAAAAGATATATAAAATCATATGTTAGAGAATTTCAAGTTAAGGCAGCCATTACACCATTACACACCTATTAGAATGGCCAAAATCCAAAACATTTGACAACACATAATGCTGACAAAGATGTGAACTCTCATTACTATCCCATCTAACAGGAACTCTCATTCATTGCTGGTGGGAATGCATGCAGAATGGTACAGCCACTTTGGAAGGTAGTTTAGCAATTTCTTTCCCTTTTTTAGACACATCACCATGCCTGGCTAATTTTTGTATTTTTTGTAGAGTCAGGGTTTCACTGTGTTGCCCAGGCTGATCTCAAACTCTTGGACTCAAGCGATCCACCTGCCCTGACCTGAAGTGCTGGGATTACAGGCATGAGCCATGGCGCTGGTCCCAGGTTGGCAATTGCATACAAAAGGAAACATAATCTTACAGTACAATCCAGCAATTACACTCCATAATATCTACTCAAGTGAGTTGAGAACTTATGTCCACATAAAAGCTGCACACAGATGTTTATAGTAGCTTTATCTATAATTACCAAAATTTAGAAGCAAACAAGGTATCCTTCAATAGGTGAATTGATAAACTGTGGTACATTCAGATATTAAA